AAGTCTTAATTATGAGCGGAGTAATTAACGTTTCCGCGAGAAATTTGTTCTGGCTATTTAAAAAATGGAGGAAATTTTTTAAAAATATTAAAATAAAAAGAAAAATGTTGCCAATTAAATTTCCTACAAATTTCCTCATAGATCTGATGACGTCAGAATTTTTATTGCTTATGTACAGAAGACTTAAAGTCAAAAAATAATTTTTTTACTTATAACAAAATTTTTTTAATTTTTTTCAAGATAGCCAATCGATTGGAAATTTAATTGTCAGCCTAGAACTCGAATTTCATCAAAAAATATTCAGCCGTTTTGAAATTGCATCTCTCTTTCCAAAGAGCGCGCCGATGCCACTACTCCTCTTCTTCAGCAGATTGAGGAGTCGTTAAATAATTTTTTCTTATTTCAAAACGGCTGAATATTTTTTGATGAAATTCGAGTTCTAGGCTGACAATTAAATTTCCAATCGATTGGCTATCTTGAAAAAAATTAAAAAAATTTTGTTATAAGTAAAAAAATTATTTTTTGACTTTAAGTCTTCTGTACATAAGCAATAAAAATTCTGACGTCATCAGATCTATGAGGAAATTTGTAGGAAATTTAATTGGCAACATTTTTCTTTTTATTTTAATATTTTTAAAAAAATTTCCTCCATTTTTTAAATAGCCAGAACAAATTTCTCGCGGAAACGTTAATTACTCCGCTCATAATTAAGACTTATTAAAAATTAGCACATCAAAACATACTTTACATCATTACCTACCAACGGTGAAATTTTGAATTCTTTAGATTAACGCGTTCTAAAAAACATTTGCATTCGCGCAAAAGTCTGTGCGCGCGCGGCGAAACAGCGGCGCGTGTCAATTTGGCCGAGTATGAGAAAATGAGAATTCAATCAATATAAAATAATCAATTATAATATACTATGAAACAAATTGAATATTGATGATAAAAATTATTCAAAATTTTATAATCATCATCAGAACAGATCGAAATGACATAAAAACTTTGAATAAAAATTATTTGTACCAGAACTACTTTCACTTCTAACTGTCGTAGAATTACGATTCAAACTGCGCCAATCTCATCTTTTTATGTAGATTTCAAATATGTCAAAATTATTTCAAAATTCACACGGGAAAGTACTTTTTGAAATTGGGGAACGCGAGGAATGCAGGCATGAGTGTGTGCGTTGGCTGGTGACAAGTCATTAGTAAGGAACAAAAGAATTATTGGAAGAGACGGTGCATCGGTCGGCCGGATATATAGGTGAAGTAATGGTGATGCAAATACTTTTCACGCCGGCTCGAAGCGTCCTTTTCGACGTCACATCTGCACTTTTATTATTTCTCCAATTGATTACTCGCTTACACACAAGATTTTCCGGGAAAGCAAGGTGTCTTTAGGACCCATTTATCGAGTTCTTTTCACTCAAAGTCACGTCATTTCATTTGGCATATTTCCTTTAACAACAAATAACAAGGCTCAGAACTTGGAAATTGACTTTTTTATAAAAAATAATTTGTTAAAAATTTCTTGTGTTCATCTACTTATGATAAACTTATGAACTAAAATAAAAGTTAATGTGGTGATGCTCAGATGTAAGTTTTCAGTAAAAAATCATAAGCCAAAGTTGTCAGGTTGTGGAGTGCTTTTATTTGCAGGCTTTTGCATGTATGCACTGTACATACATACGTGCTCATTCAGCTTCATCCTGCGAGGCTTCTCACAGAGATGAAAGGAGAGTTGATTTCATTTCCAGAGGCAGTTTTATGTTTAAACTTTTCGCTTTGCCTCCTCTGTTATGTTAGAGTAGGTTGGAATCATTTGTCTCTGCAGCGCTTCACAACAAAGCCTTTTGATAAAATTTTGCCCTGGTGGTGAGAGAAATAGGTGCTCAAAATTATATTCCAATGCATGCAACTGTTATTCAGAAATAAAAGAAGTCCGTTTGGTTTTGTTTATCCAATGAAATTTGATAATACTAGATAAATGTTCAAACAAATTGACGCATACAATTTTAATTAGTAAAATGTTTTTTTTTTTCATTTTTATGAAATTTGTATGTGTTTAAAATATATTTATTTGATATGTTTTAGTAATTAAAATTGTATAAAAACAAATTTAGTTAATAATTTTTTTTCATAATTTTTTAATATAATATTATTTTACCAAAAATTTTTTTGCTATTTAGAATAAAAAAGGAAGTGAAAACCTACAAAAATCAGCTGCAATAAATATGTATTGAATAAATATATTTCAAAGCAGAGCAGGATTGAAGGTACAAATGTTCGGAAGCCTCTATTTATAAATACCTACGTCATTGCCGTTCACCATGTTTGGCATAAAGTAATTATACATTTTTAAATCCTAATTTAATTAAAAATAAACGGTCATTATAAATTTATATTTTAGGCGTCCAACATTTACACAGAATTTCATTTCAAAACACTTTTCTCTGGTTAATTCAGATTGTTTAAAAATTTAAATATGTCCTAAAATATTTACGCTTTCAATTCAATTCAGAAATATCTATGGATGTATAGAAATTCCAGTTTCCAGAGTAATAAAATGTGCGCCATTTATAGAGCTGTACGAGCCATAAATCGTTGCGAGATCAGTTAATAGGGCGTCCGATTCCCCGTGTCCCGCAGGACAGGGATGTGCAATGGAACAAGAGTTGCCCTCGTCGTAAAATTGTCTGCATTTGGGCAAACGTGAAATTTGTATGCTTGGGCGATTGATGCCTGCAATAACGTGTGTGTGCGCCGCCTGCAAAAAAAAAACGAAATTCGTCTGGCCTGGCATAAATTTCGACGACACGAGGTGGCAAATTTCACGCGCGGCGATAAATCACGCCCCGAATAGGACGGCGCCTCTCCTTTTGCTCTTTTGGGAGCGGACGCGGCACGCACGCAATCCATGTTATGTTTCGCACTATTGACATACATACATACATATATAGAGACACACACAAAGTCGGTCCCAAAACCACACACGAAACCCCGGACGCGCGCAAAATACGAAAAATTGCGTAGAGACGGAAAGTCGACTCTTACAATCCAGGCGCAGGCAAATCGCGTGTCACCATGGCATGTCAAATTTATTGTGAAGTAATATATTTATTAAATTTAAAATAGAAGAATTTCACATGACATTTGTGATGTTTGAATTTAAATTTGGCTTTTTCTTGTCTTTCTACAAAACACAAGAATTGATTCAAAAGTCCATCAAGGACGAGCAAACTTTCAGACTAAACAACATTATAGAAAATAGTTTTAATAGGAATTTGTAATATTTTTTTACAAATGATATCTTTTTATCTGAAATGATATACTTCTTATTGATTCATAAAAAATGGAAAAGCGTGGGAGATTTTGCAATTTTAACAATCAATTCGATAAGTTGTGTTTCCGTACTTTTTTTATTATTTATATCATAATTATTTTTTTCATCATAAGTAGTCGTTAGTATAAATAATAAAATCTGAAATACAATACAAAGTTATTGATTTTTTATGTATTCAGCTGAATACACCCACAACCCAATCAATAAAAATTTTGCAAATAAAATAGAATTTATAAAACTTTTTTTGTTTACTTTTAAAATTTTAAATACTGAAACTTTTACATCCACAATCTCAAACTTTAAGTTTTTTTTTCCAAAACTCATCTTTAAGGCTAGAATAATAAATGTAATCAAAATTGACAACAGGAAAATAGGTCGGTGCAAGCAGCGACATTTTCATTTTTTGCCATTCCGAAATAGACCTGCCTGCACGGAAACCTGACACTTACACTAACTTGGAGGGCCATAACACGAGAGACCACTCTAGGTGTTTGTTGTTGCAGTCAAGGATGCAGCCGGCTTGGATAATTACCAGTGGCTAATGGGGCGGATATTACGCTCGGACAATGATCGAACACTTGCATGGTCGGTCGACCGTGCACGATCAAGGATTCCGTCGGTTGCTGCAATAATTACCTTCGGCTAATTAGAGTGTGTCATTGTGTGATGGAATTTTTAATACCAATTCTCGTTTTATCCGTAATGAAACAATTACGGCCACGAGTTGATCTTTTTGCACTCTTTTGGCCGCCGGCTTCGAATGGCGTGTCCTCCATAAATTTGTAAACAACGATAATTAATACGTACATGCTGCAGCCGGCCGGTGCTGGTTTTGCATATTATTATTATTTGTGGCTCTCGTTTTGCTTTTCCGCTCCAACCCGCGCCACTGCGGCCCGAACGAACATGCGGCCGACTACTGCGGATGATTCAATTTCGCCTCTGTTTGTCGCACACTGACTACACATACACGGCGATACCGAGGGCACTGCTTTTTATTTCCATTAAAACCAGTCATCCGTCCGCCGACGCCGCTCGCTCGCTCACTAAACGGAATTATGAAGTTAAAAAAGAGGTTTTTTACGGTTTTCAGCTCGTCTACACAAATAAAGGACGGAGTTAACAGGAATTTATTAATTTTCACTAAAAAATAGAGCCTGTTTTAACAAGTTTCACATAGAATGTTGTTTTAATAAAGTTGGCTCTTCTGTTTTATTGATATTAAAATATTAATTAAATTTTTAACACGAAATTAACTTTGCGCAAGGAACCAAATTAAATTTTATTCTATTGATATTGATTGATAATAATATGGTCGTGTCCCAATCATCATTAATTGTATTGAACAATAAAAACATATTGTAAAGTATGGCCTGTTTGATAAAAAGTTTAAGTTTTCACCCTCTCAACAATTTTCAACACGTAAAATTTTCTCATTTTTGTAACAATTTTATTGGAAAAATTAACCAAAAAATTATAAACATATTGGCATTAAATTTTTCAACAGGCTCACTTACTAATTTTCAGTTCACTCCTCAACATTGCTCTCTCTGCGACGTGTTTTCGAAATGTTAGAAGTCGCGTTAAATTAACGTAGACAGCAAACATATATTCAGTGGCAATTTTGCTGACGTTCCGTTTTCGATTTGTTGCAGAGCCGACGACCGACATCATTGGATCGCCGGACCTGTACATAGACCGCGGCAGCACCATCAACCTGACCTGCGTCGTGCTGTACAGCCCAGAACCTCCAGCCTACATTTTCTGGAACCACAATGATGCGGTGAGTGCTCTCTTAGATTCAAATTAACTTCGGCCTGCGGTTTGGCGCGGCCTATAATTTACTGCTGCAAAAGCGCTTTTTCACCTTTACGACTCCTTTTATTTGCACGCGCCGAGAGAAAAAAAAGGCAATTTTCGACCGCCAGGCCTTTTTTCGCGGTGGCCCTGCGCGAAACGTTAAATATGAAACGGGCTAATTTGCACTAAACTTTGCCTTATGCTGATGTGGCTTAAAAATATAAATTTTGCGTGTTTATTTCTACCCTTTTAAATTTCCCGTATTTTTTTAAAATAAATCTTCTCATTCAAATCTTGCAGAGGACAAAAAAAATATATTTAAAAATTAATTCTGGTTTTAACTATTCTTGTAAAAAAAAATAATTAATAAAGTGTAAAATAAGAGAACGAGCATAGCAATTTTTGATTACAAAATAATTATTTCATGTGAGATTCAAATTCTTCAAAGTTATTATGTAATGAAAATATTGAAAAGTGTTTGATATCACTTTGCCTTTTAGCATATTCTTTCTGTTAATAAAATACATTAATCAGCTGATTTTCCTTCTTTTCTAGAGGGAGTAAAGATTTTTACTCTCTCTATTCTTTTCCTATCCCTATGGTACTACAATTAGGATTAGATTTTTATAGTCTTTCAAATTTAAGAAATCCATAAATGACAGAATAAATAATTTTGTCCTGAACGTTATCGTATAATATTTTTAGAAAAAAAAGTATAAGCCCTGATGCCAATTCACAAAGTTCATTCCGCAGGCCAATTTTGGGGGAAATATCCCGCATTAATAAAAAGACCTGAGGGCTTTACTAAATTCTCACAGGGACGAAACACTTTCGCGGCATTTCATTATTTCCCCGAAACGGCAGCGGACTAATTTCGATTTAAAGTCACGAGTTCACTCTCAGTGGTATATAAAAGGTCGTCATAAAAAAGAAAATTAGCACGGGCGTGAACCGCACCTACTGGTGGGAAAAGTTTAAAAGTACTAAATGCATGCGTGCCGAGGAAGGCCATAAAGTATGTCCAAAACAGCATGTTGGCCAAATTAGTGCTAATTAAGTCGTCACTCTCGTAAACAAGACGCGTCGGCGCTAAAAGTAGCGGGGCATTTTTTTAAAAGCGCGCGGCCGAATTTCAGCGGCACGACCAGTTTCTTTATTATTATGAAACTCGTAAAGAGCGAGAGCTGAAAAAATGCGATTACGTGAGATGTGCTTTGAAGGCTTGTTTACGGCCAATAAAAAAAATGGTGTGTGCCGAGCGCCATTTTTCCCGAGCAATTTTCAAACGCAATGACAACTCTTCTGCAGAGAGCGTGTTTTTACGACTTTTAATACTTGACACCTCTTACGAAATTCGACGGAGAAGTAAGAAGAAAAACAGCAGTCGGTCTGATGGCTTGTCAAAACAATAACTAACTGTGAAGAGACGAGAGAAACAATTTGCCGGCCTCAAAGTTTTATTCTGCGTGGTTCTTTTGTACTCCTATTGTTGCAAAAATTCTTTCCCAAGTCCTAACTTGGAAAATTGTGGCATAAATTTAGCAATAAAAAAATAATAATAATAAATTTGCAAGAATATCAATTTCGGTAAATTTTCTTTAGAGTGAAATTGCTTTTAGCATGTTTTGAGATTTCAAATTTTGAGAAAAACTGCAGTGCAAAAATTGAATATTTTTATTTTAAAAGAAAATTGTTGTCAGCCAATGCGGCAAACGAGGACTGTTCGATCTCAGGAGTTTGAGCAAAATTCTTTCTATTGGTGGTGCCTTTATACATGTTATAAAATCCAATCTTTACCTCAAAAAAATTATTATTTTTCATTTTGTAAAATTGCACTTATACAAAAAAAAAATAGATTTCAACTGATAAAATACTAATTGCTAGCAATTAAAATCATACTAATTGCATATACTCAAAAATCATAGCCTTCATTTTGAATTTCTTTATCATCAAACAAACAATCATTAGAAACCAAACAAAAATTTCACGTTACCAATGCCACACAATTTCATTTTTCATTGAAAGATTATTTTGTAAATTCTACTCATTGTCAGTTCAAAGTTTATCATCAATCAAAAGGCGCCATGAGTAGCTAAACTATGCTAATTGTCTGTATATAAACAGTATAAACTTGTGCGAAAGAGCAGCCCTAAATAATATCATGGGTCGGCAGCGAGTTTATTGTTGCTCGTGATAAGCAAGACATTAAAACGCCACTTGCATATGTGCGAATATTCTGCGCACATCCGTCTGTGTGGGTATGCAACCGGCTTGACGTTTCGAGGAGAGACCAAACGCACACACGTCGCACATGCATGAACTCGTCAGCCGCGGCTTAATGTGCTTAATATATTTCTGCCGCGCGCCACGCAATTACATACCATGGAGGATAATGATGAAGAATAATAAATAACAAGAGAGACACAGCCGGCGGAGAGAGACGAACGTTATTATCATCCACAATGTTCAGGCTGACACAGTGTGTGTTATGACTTGTTTTGATGATGAAATACGACGACCGCGGCGACCGCCAAATTTTTGCTCGCTAGAGCCAAGTGCCAAAAGTGTTGACCCAGAAGTAGAATTTATAGTTCTTTTAAAAGTTTTAAATATAATAATAATGATTATAAAACATATTGTTAAGTAAAATACATTTTTTAATTTTTTTCTGCAATATTTTATTTTATATAATTTATATAATAGTTTAATTTATTCTTTTTTATTTTTAAATTATTTAAATTTTATTCTTGCAAAGATAAGGTTATATCAACACAAACCAACTGCCACAATCGATAAATTCTCCTGCACATTAACCATTGAAGAATTATAATGTTAATATATAAATTATGCTTCTTGTTGTATTTCTAGGAAATTTGATGAATTGAATATGAGTGAATAATTATTAGAATTAATTAATTTTAGCTTCTCCAAACTGTAATTTTAATATATTTTAGCTAATTATGATGCAAATGCTAAAAATCCTTGCCATCAGTAAATAAAATGCAGATGTTTTTACAATAAAACTTAATTGAAACATTAAGAAATCTGATACTTGTATCGCAAAAAAAATCTTCTTTATTTTGGTGCTGGATATCTCCAGAAAGGAGTAACGCAATGAAGAAAGAAAATGTGACTCAAATTGGAAACACATCTAGAGATTGGGTGATCAAATCGTTTTCTTGCTCTGCGTCAAACTTGTGAAGTCGTTTTTCCTGTCTGCTACCTTTCCACACACGCACAGGTCTGTCAATATAAAAAGCAGCGAGGTTTCCATTATTTTTATTGCAGCTCTGTCTAGACGACACAGCTGCCGGCGTTTTCAGCCAAAATCGTCTCGAGATAAAGTTTGCACCGAAAGTTTCAAGCGCAGAAAATGATGATGCAAAGCCGAGAGGGACCAAAACACAGCAACCGGCGCCCACAGAGACGATGATTGAACTTTGCTTGCTCTCTCTTTGCATAATGTACACAAAGCTTTTACAAGCTCGGAAGACAAACTTTGATGCTCATTACGCTTTGATGACGCAAATTACGGCTCTCTCGTTTAAAAAAGCAACATTTCCCAAAGTTTGTTTTTGTGTATCGCTGAATAGCAAAAATAAAACGGGAAAATAGACGGATTTTTTTTACCCTTTTGAGAGGCTGACGGCATTTGACAGCCTAGGATTCCGATAGGGGTGATCGTAAATTTTCATGTTCCTGATAAGCGGCTCGAGAATGATCGAGGGGTTGGGAATCGGATTTTATGTTGTTGACACCATCCTTAACGTTCCAAGTGGAATGTTCAAAATGGAGTATTATTGGATCTTTTATGGGAATTTTTTTTAATGTGTCTAAAAATAGGGATTTTTTAACAACATCTGAAATCTCGCATCCTCAGCAACATATTGAATACCTACAGAATTTTTAATTTTTATGTTACATTTTAGTTGAGATTCAACTTAAATTATTTATTTAACAAGAAAAATTGCAATATTTTTTTTTAATTTTTCCCCCGAGGCTAGTTTTTTTTTGTAGTTCAATATACATTGTTTGCAACCCATAAATGATAAATACATAATTATGCTATAATATTATATTATTAAAATGAATTTGATAATTTAAACATAATAATAGAGATAAGTATTATTATAATAATACTTTTAAAAATTCGATAATTTGTACAATTTTAACAGTTGTCATTACATTCTGTTCTAGCAGATCATCAGCTACGACTCAACGCGGGGCGGGGTTAGCGTGATCACCGAAAAGGGTGAGACCACGACCAGCTTTCTGCTCATCCAGCGGGCCAAGTCTTCCGACTCGGGCAAGTACACGTGCAACCCGTCGAACGCGCAGCCCAAGAGCATCATGGTGCACGTGCTGAACGGTGAGGACTCACCCAGTAGGAGCCAATTTTCTATTCTATGCTACTCCAAGTTAATTCTCCCCCACATTTTTTACTCTTCATCCCTGCTCGTACCAATATAGTGTGTAGATAGATGCACGCCGCTCTTGGGACCAAAAACTTTCTTCCTTTCCGCACACTTTCCTTTCTCGGGCCCGCCGGGAGAACTGGATGAATTATTTTTGCGGCCAATTACTTTTCTTTTCTCTTTGCCAAGGCAGCGCGCTGATTGCTATAACTTGCGATTCTCGTTGTCAGATTACTTTTTCATGAAAGAAACGTGGATCCTTTGTTTCTTTTTTATCTTGGGCTAATATTTCAGTTTTTCTATAGAGCCAATAATTACTGTGGCTTCTCGAAAGTTTGATATATTTTTTAGACATACAAGGAAATCTGAACAGGAATATTGTATGTCCTGCGCGTTTGTTGAGAGGATTCACTGTTGATTAATTTTTACTCTAAAATATGAAGGCGAAAAAAATTAATGGCTTCCTTCCCACGCGTGTGATAAAAACATCCAGATAAAAATTTGAGATAGCATAATTTGTTTATACTGATATTTAAAGACTTTTCATGATTCATGATCAATTTTTACAAACTTATCAAGAGAAATTAAATTAAATTAAACAATCTACTCACTATATTTTAATTATGATTTTTAATTAAATAAGAATGGCGAGTTAAATCTTTTTTCCAAAACAAAAAGTGAATTTTTAAGTTCAAACAGTCTTAGCTTAAGACAAAATGTTTCAAAGAAGACCAAATTTTTAAATTAAAAGAGAATTTAAAAGAAAATATCTTGAGTTTCTTTTTTTCCTTTTTTTTTGCACTGAAAGCTGCGCAAACGACTTGGTGCAAACGTAAAACAGCAATTTAATTCTCATGAAATATTAGAAGCAGCCAGCAGAGAGAGTCGAGATGGATTCGCGCTTCAGCTGCGCTTTATTGCCAATAAAATATATCAGAGATGTTTCCCATTACTCGGAATAGTCGTCGCGTCGCCGTATTTTCTGCACAGCTCTCTGCAGCACCGGAACGAGACAAAGACTAAACTTTCCTCCATAAATAAATATACAGCAAACGCGAGGCGCATCGTCAATATCACCGTAATTGAAATTTCTGCGCATTCCCAACACAATTGGAAAATGAAAACAGCTCCGAGTTTTTGTTCGCGAGTGTGCTCAGCGGGCAAAAGGGCAAAATTAGCCAACTATCGTTTGTGACGTGGGCCGCGGGCGGAAAAATGGCAAAAAAAAAAACAGCGAGAGCCCTTTCCGACATTGCTGGCAAACCTGCCAAAAAAGCGCTTAGCCATCGGGAATTTCAATTTCCTGCCACTCCATTATTGCGTGGCATGCGCGAAATCGAGACCCTCTTTTTTGCGCGGGGCTTGACTCGCCGGCTTGATTTCAGCAGCCTTTTAAATTAATTAATGCCGCCGAGTCTCACAAAAAGAGCTGAAGGGCACCGCTTTTGATGCTGTGCGAATTTACTGCCAATGTCGTAAATCAACTTTCAGCATGGCTGACAAAAATTCCGCTTCTTCTTCAACTTCTTTAGAAAAAATTCGCCCTAAATCAAGTTTAAGTCGAGACTTAATTTACAAAATGGGAAAAGGGCCAAATTGTGAAAGAGAAAGATATGAATCCATATTTCTAAAGATTTATTAAAAAAAGTTTTAAAAAGTTAAAAAATTATCAACTTCATAATTTAAAATTGAAAATTATATCATTTTGGGATCATTTGCTCTTTATTTTTTCATGTTTTCAACAAGATTAATCCCAGTCTCAATTTTTTTATTAATTTTATTTTCATAAAAATATAGAAAAATTGCTATTTTTCAATTATACCTAATTTCAAATAGTTTCCAACAATTCTAAAAATGTAACCTGCATTAATATAACTATTTATAACAAATCAAATGACACTAAAAACGCAAAAAAAAACTGATTAATCACGAATTTTTGGTCAGGAATTGATGTTTCTCGTGAATTTTAAATAAATCGTTTTAATTCTTTATGTTTCTCGGGAAAACATTTTGGTACAGATTTAGTCGTTTTGCCAGTTACCGATTTAAGTGGGCCCGTCAGCAGTTCGCCCCGTCGCTGCGTAAACAAATTGCCCTAATAAAATCAGCCGGCGGGCAAAACAGCAGCACCTTTATTGATTCGGGCCAGCACACAGAGTGAGTGGAGTGTTCGTCGCCATATTTACACAACACACTTCTTTCTCATCGCGAGCATGTAGGCGTAATGAGAGCACTTGGCCCCGATTCAACTCGCTTCGGCTGGGTGTGGCTTTAATTGATAATCATTATGCTGGCATCAGCCGTTTCAATTAAACCCACTCTTCGGCTGCATGCAATAGTTATCATAAAATTATTATTATTATCCTCGGTGGCGGATCAAATTAAAGCAACCGTGTGCACAGCACACTGTGATTATGAGGACACAATGTAGTGTGGTTGCGCGACAACCGATAATAAATTGCAACTCCAGCCGAGAAATGCATCACAGTGATGGATTGAGCAGTGACACGTGGTTAGACGTCGCGCTTCACCTGGGGCTCGTCGGATGAACATTGAATGCAGGAATGATTTATGCAAAGAGTGAGTCATGTCATGACTGATCAAAGTAAATATCAAAAACTTTATTAATTATTCAGAACTTGCAAAAAAATAAAAAATAAATTATTCTATTTTAACAATTGAATGCAGTTTACTGAGGGGAAATTAAATTTAACAATCAGAAACAACGTGTTTATAAAATATTTATTTTACTATTATGTCAGGTAAAAAGTTAAAAACTTGACAAATAAGTAGTCCAATTCTCATTGCAATCACGATTTTCACTTTTCAATTTTAAATTTATCACATAACCCTTAAATTATTGTAAACTAAATTAGAGAGGAAAAACGAAAGTTGAATAATTGAAGTTGCTTAAAATCAAATCATACCTTTAAGCTCATATTTTTAGATTTATATGTTAAATTTTTTTAAAGGAATATGTTTTTAACAATTTTTTTGGCTTATAAAGAATTTAATTTAATCAAAATCTGATTGTCAAAATTATGAAATACGGTGTGTCATTGGATTGAAAGTGAAACGCCTTGCACAGATTAAAATCACGCCTAAGAAATTCTACCAACTTTCGTAATTCCTACTGTTGGAACTTTATTAATTGTTTCCATCTTTAGTCTCTCTATTTCAATTCCATTAAGAATGCAGTAATAGTTGCCATCAAGTGAGTGAATCCAGCAAAACGCCTCTTTCGCCCTGAACCGTCGTCACGCGTGGGCGAAACCGCACCGCCACACATATCCCATCCACCACAATTTATGTGCCGTCTTCTTCGGCTTTTCCCACTTGCTCGATACAATTTCGTCGCCGAGCAGCAGCAGGTGAAATACGCGGAAACTTTTACGCGCCTCAACTGGCTGCCGACTGCCTTTAAGAAAGGGAAGCCTCTGCTCCCTTTTGTCGCTGCCGTTGATAATAACGTGTGCGTGCCTCCGAGTCTCTGCTCACTCATTCGGATGCGGAATTGAGGCGTTTGAATTGGGCTCAGAATCCGGCAAATGGCGAAATCGAATTTCAAGAGAATATCGGTGGAAGAGGCGAAAAGCAAAATTTGAGCTGCTCGAATTTCATCCAGCAAGCCTATTAATTTGGTCCGTTAGATTTAACCAATTGAAAAGCTCTTAAGCTGAAGAGGTTTGTAATTATTTAATTATCTTATGTTACCTCAAAAAAAGAATGGGGGAGATTCAATAGACTTAGCTCTCCCGGGAAAAAAGATATCCCGGGATAAATCAAAAGGGATAAAATTTATACTTCTGTCCCGAATTAAATATTTTTTGTCCCGCCTTCAATTTTTTGTCCCCAAATCATTGGGGGATATCTTTTCTTGGCCCCCTCTACGGGATAGATATTTAACCCGCGCTAAAATCAAATCAGCTGGTAAATAAAAGGTCGTCAACATGCTCGCAAACATTTTAGATTTTGGCCAATTGCAATGAACAAAAAACTTAATTTTTCAAATCAGAATTTTGTGAGGATCATGGAATTGAGGGCAAAATTGAAATCCAAAGCTAACACAAAAATATGCATCTAACTTAATTTAAAATTGCATATTTATTTTGCTCAGAAATTTCTAAAGACCTCTTCATCAAAGCGAAATTATGCAACGATTTTTTTCTTTTGAAATTTTTTGCACGTGAAATTTCAAATTTCTCAACTCTGAAAAATTAAAATTCTCAAGCTTATTTTTTATTTGTAGATAAATTAAATTCGCCAATTTTTTTTTTTTTAATTACACTTAACAAATAAAAAAGGAATAAAAAATTAGTGAACGTGAAAAAGTAAAAAAAAAAGAATTTGCTTTTCTTTCATCTAAAAATTCACTACAAAACGACTACAAAAATACTCCAAGATGACTACAAACTCACTACAAAACGACTGCAAGCGACTCCAAGATGACTACAAACTCACTACAAAACGACTGCAAGCGACTCCAAGATGACTACAAACTCACTACAAAACGACTGCAAGCGACTCCAAGTTGACTACAAACTCACTACAAAACGACTGCAAGCGACTCCAAGATGACTACAAACTCACTACAAAACGACTGCAAGCGACTCCAAGTTGACTACAAACTCACTACAAAACGACTGCAAGCGACTCCAAGTTGACTACAAACTCACTACAAAACGACTGCAAGCGACTCCAAGATGACTACAAACTCACTACAAAACGACTGCAAGCGACTCCAAGTTGACTACAAACTCACTACAAAACGACTGCAAGCGACTCCAAGTTGACTACAAACTCACTACAAAACGACTGCAAGCGACTCCAAGATGACTACAAACTCACTACAAAACGACTGCAAGCGACTCCAAGTTGACTACAAACTCACTACAAAACGACTGCAAGCGACTCCAAGTTGACTACAAACTCACTACAAAACGACTGCAAGCGACTCCAAGTTGACTACAAACTCACTACAAAACGACTGCAAGCGACTCCAAGTTGACTACAAACTCACTACAAAACGACTGCAAGCGACTCCAAGATGACTACAAACTCACTACAAAACGACTGCAAGCGACTCCAAGATGACTACAAACTCACTACAAAACGACTGCAAGCGACTCCAAGTTGACTACAAAATCACTACAAAACGACTGCAAGCGACTCCAAGATGACTACAAACTCACTACAAAACGACTGCAAGCGACTCCAAGATGACTACAAACTCACTACAAAACGACTGCAAGCGACTCCAAGTTGACTACAAACTCACTACAAAACGACTGCAAGCGACTCCAAGATGACTACAAACTCACTACAAAACGACTGCAAGCGACTCCAAGATGACTACAAACTCACTACAAAACGACTGCAAGCGACTCCAAGTTGACTACAAACTCACTACAAAACGACTGCAAGCGACTCCAAGTTGACTACAAACTCACTACAAAACGACTGCAAGCGACTCCAAGATGACTACAAACTCACTACAAAACGACTGCAAGCGACTCCAAGTTGACTACAAACTCACTACAAAACGACTGCAAGCGACTCCAAGTTGACTACAAACTCACTACAAAACGACTGCAAGCGACTCCAAGATGACTACAAACTCACTACAAAACGACTGCAAGCGACTCCAAGATGACTACAAACTCACTACAAAACGACTGCAAGCGACTCCAAGATGACTACAAACTCACTACAAAACGACTGCAAGCGACTCCAAGTTGACTACAAACTCACTACAAAACGACTGCAAGCGACTCCAAGATGACTACAAACTCACTACAAAACGACTGCAAGCGACTCCAAGTTGACTACAAACTCACTACAAAACGACTGCAAGCGACTCCAAGTTGACTACAAACTCACTACAAAACGACTGCAAGCGACTCCAAGATGACTACAAACTCACTACAAAACGACTGCAAGCGACTCCAAGTTGACTACAAACTCACTACAAAACGACTGCAAGCGACTCCAAGATGACTACAAACTCACTACAAAACGACTGCAAGCGACTCCAAGATGACTACAAACTCACTACAAAACGACTGCAAGCGACTCCAAGTTGACTACAAACTCACTACAAAACGACTGCAAGCGACTCCAAGATGACTACAAACTCACTACAAAACGACTGCAAGCGACTCCAAGTTGACTACAAACTCACTACAAAACGACTGCAAGCGACTCCAAGTTGACTACAAACTCACTACAAAACGACTGCAAGCGACTCCAAGATGACTACAAACTCACTACAAAACGACTGCAAGCGACTCCAAGTTGACTACAAACTCACTACAAAACGACTGCAAGCGACTCCAAGTTGACTACAAACTCACTACAAAACGACTGCAAGCGACTCCAAGATGACTACAAACTCACTACAAAACGACTGCAAGCGACTCCAAGTTGACTACAAACTCACTACAAAACGACTGCAAGCGACTCCAAGATGACTACAAACTCACTACAAAACGACTGCAAGCGACTCCAAGTTGACTACAAACTCACTACAAAACGACTGCAAGCGACTCCAAGTTGACTACAAACTCACTACAAAACGACTGCAAGCGACTCCAAGTTGACTACAAACTCACTACAAAACGACTGCAAGCGACTCCAAGTTGACTACAAACTCACTACAAAACGACTCTCAAAATGCGCTAAAACACGCAAAGCTCGTTCTCCCTTCATATTTGTATACCACCTCGCTTAAACATCCCAACAATTTTACCATCAATAAGCCGTCAACTATTTCGACTGTTGAACCAGCTGACCTTGCTATCAATTTTGAAACAAAAAGGTCAGCCGCTAGTAATAAAAACATAAATAAATAAAACCAAGTCAAACATTTTCTTGACTTTGGCTGAGCTGAGTGTTCATTGCAGTTGCACTTTTGACAGCCGGCAGCCGGTAGCCAGCCACTGGTTCAATACTTGATTTGATAGCCATACGAAAAAGATGTATTTGCCCAAATTAACTTTGACGAAAAGGTATTTAAATATTTGGGAAACCTTAAGATGAAAGAAAAGCAAATTCTTTTTTTCTTTTACTTTTTCACGTTCACTAATTTTTTTCCTTTTTTATTTGTTAAGAGTAATTACAAAAAAAAATAGGCGAATTTAATTTATCTACAAATAAAAAAATAAGCTTGAGATTTTTAATTTTTCAGAGTTGAGAAATTTGAAATTTCACGTGCAAAAAATTTCAATAGAAAAAAATCCTTGCATAATTTCGCTTTGATGAAGAGGTCTTTAGAAATTTCTGAGCAAAATAAATATGCAATTTTAAATTAAGTTAGATACAGATTTTTGTGTTAGCTTTGGATTTCAATTTTGCCCTCATTTCCATGATCCTGCGCGGGTTAAATATTTATCCCGTAGAGGGGGCTAAGAAAAGATATCCCCCAATAACTTGGGGAGAAATAATTGAAGGTGGGACAAAAAATATTTAACCCGGGACAGTGGTCTAAATTTTATCCCTTTGGATTTATCCCGGGATATCTTTTATCCCGGGAGAGCTAAGTCTCTTGAATCTCCCCCAATAATTTTTAAAAGGAAAAAATATATTATCAACAGGATGAATAAGGAATAAACTAGTTGTAAGGAGACTCTGAATAATTGGCGGTTTTGTGAATGAAAATTTAACCATTTTTATTTTATCCATAATGAAAAAAAAAATTTGCTTTACTATCCATCGAAAATTCCTATTTACAAAAATTATTATCTTTTAGATAATGATTATTTTTAATTTACAAATATAAGTAAAATTATGGTCACGTATAATACGAATTTGACTTTTAAAAATTCGGAAATTAAATCTGATAATTCTAATCAAATCAAAAATTTTTAAGTGACTTTTATCAACCTTTACTCAAAGGAGTATAAAAAAATTGATTTAAGTTATAAAATTTCTTGTTTCTCGATTTTCAAATGCAAAAATAACATCTTACAAACTTTTAATTTAAGCTGCTCTCAAAATCAAACAGCTTGCAAAACATTTTAATTTCTGCTCAATGCTCAACGTGTTCTTGCACTTGAGCCCGAACGCTGTCTAATCCGATTGGAAAGCACATTAAAATGCATTTCGCGAGGCGCCTGCTGCTTTTCCCTGCGACGCCCGACGGCAAATTGCATCAGCCCGTCATTTCTCAGACGTGATTTATCCAACAGCTGCAGCCATTACTTCTTTTCCTTGGGTGGAATTTCCGAAATGTGTCGCTTCGAATGTGCAGCTGCCGCTTTTTGCATGCTGATGAGGCGCCGCGGTGAATAAATGAGGAATGACAAATCGCCGTCTCCCGAGATTTTTCTCTAATGGCTGTTCGCCGAAGTGTGCGCGCGAAATGAATTCGCGCCTCGACCATCCGGCGAATTTATTCGCCAACTTGCTCGGCACACTTTCGAGGAGGCAAAGATGCATTAAAATTCCCACGGCACCCATTTGTCACGATTTTTGAAGAGAGGCCTGTTTTGCTTACATGGTGGGCCACTTCCGAGCTCCCGTGAGTGGTCGTGCCAACGTAATGCGATGCGCCCACTGACGACGCAGCGCACTCTAACCCTTCACCGTTTTGCCAACCATCAGTCAAGCGTTGGCATTTCATCTCGCGCCTATCCTTTCCCCTAGGTCGAGTTGTAATTTACCAGTGACTCAGGATCTGGAAAATTTTAGAAATTAAATTTATTAAAAAGTAAAAAAATGATAAACATCAGATCATTTGAAAGCCTAGAATAGAAATAATATTATTATAAAACTTATGTATGAATAATAAAGTTAAAAAAAAACAACAACTCAATTATATTAAATTACAAAAGGCTCTTGATTTCTTGAACCAGTGTGACTAGTTCCATTCTGCATAGCTTTCGTGTCTCATTTTTATGTCATTGTCTTCAACTCGAAAAACTCACTTATTATTAAAGTATTTAATATTTATTTATTATTAGTGGAAACAGTATAAAATTTCAGAAATATTTTTGTCAATCCCATATAAGTATATAATAACAACTACAAGATCTCAATAATTGCATTTTAAATAATAATCAATCAATGTCGATAATATGTCAACACCTGTATAAATATCAATTGCAAAATATTATTTTATTTAATTCACGGGAATCAATTACACTCTATAGAGAATAAATAATCTTGAAATATAGAAGAAAAAAATTCAAACCAATTAAAAATTTTATTAGTTTTTAAAATTATTACATTGTAGATTATGAAAAATATAAAAACAATATTTATACATTAGTTTAGATTTGAATAGCCTAATAAAAGACATATAAGATTAGTTAACTTGTTAATTAATTTTGTTTTCAATAAAGATAATTATGATTAAATTACATTCTGAGCCCTTTCGTGTAAGATTTGTAATTTTATTCCGTCGAGATTTACGCTTATCAGGAGTTTTGATCGTCAGCCTAAAATTATATCTATGAAATAATTTAGCCCAAGAGATGCTTCTATGCATTCATTCACACCTGTGCCTTTTGTTTTACCTTTGTAAGCATTTTTCCTCACTTCTTCTAAACACTTCATGGAAATTCAGAATGCCAGAATCAAATCACAAGTTAATTCACACTAAAAGGTGAAATAGGATTAAGCAAGAAGTAGAGCAGAGTAAATTTTGACAGAGAATTCCCATGTGAACTTTTCCAGTTTCTCAAAAAATTGCACTTTTGTGTTCACAGGAGAGTTTCCGGCGGCGATGCAGCACGGAGGTCAAGCGCACCACCGGTCATCGCGGCTCTACTGCTTGATATTCTGCGTGTGTCTGTTGCTGTTAAGCCCTTAACACTTCGGCCATCACTCAAGGGACTCGATGTAGATGGGCAGGACGAGAGAAACAAAAGAGTGCGAGTGAGTGAGTGTGAAGAAGAGTCCAGTCTCAAGGAAGAGCGCCGCTAAAAAAAAAGAGGGTGAAAAGGGAAGCAGCGGTGAGAACAAGATGGATTAGCGCGTACTCGCCGGAATAAAAAGCATAAAAATAAAAATTAAAAAAGTAAAAAAATGAGAAACACAGGGACAGACTGAGCAGGTGTAACGTCCGTGAATTGTGTCATGGGATTCTTGGTTCACCCCCCATTAATAAAAATCAGCGAGCAGGCAGCGGCGTGCACGATTTTTTTCCTCAGCTTTTATCTCGTCGATGTGGCTGTGCCAGAGCAAGATGAAAAATGTACATGCGTGAATTAAAAAAAAGAATGTCTCCGTAATCAGTGTGAAACGTTGTGCGTCGCAGGTGACGCCGAGATGATGAACAACTTTTACTTAACCTTACATACTATAGCGGTGGAAACGAGCACGAGCAGGCGATTTCCAGCGATTCTTTAGTGAGAATGTGCAAATCGACGCACTGAGTGTTAAATTTCAAATTCAGGTGTTGCCCGGCGGGTTCTTCAACATGCATAAGCCCCTATTTTTTCTCACTCCCGTGTCAAATGTTTAAATAACGAGGAAATATTACGTCCATTGCTGCCAAGCTCTTCTTGTTATTATTTAAAAATATTCAAATTGCATGCGAGGTTTTCGTAACCTGTTGTGTCGTCAAGATAGATTACAACTCGCATATAGACACTCTATTTGCAACTCTTTTGCATTTCAAATTTTGATTCGTCCGCATCTGAGGTTAAAGGATTTGACCTGTTCACTTCTATAACTCACTTATGTTTTCAATTAATTTATATTCAATTTTTTTTACTTCCAAAACTTTTTTTATAAACTGATAGGTTTCTGTAGCAGTGTTGAAACAATATCTCAAAATTTTTGCAACTAACCAACTCTAATAACTATAAAATTCTCATTAAATAATTTTCCAAACTTTAATTATGAAATAAATTTAATCTGGGGCAAGACTGTGCTGGTTGGTTATATATCTCGCGTTATTATAACCATGCTCAAATTTTATAGCGCAAAAGTAAGCGTCCTTCTCTCTCGGTCGCAAATTCTGCAGGCTAATAATTCACAGATTATGCTCAGTTTCAGCAGTTTGCGTTTCGAGTCGCGATAAATCTGGGACGATCCTGACGCGCGGGTTATAAAAACTTTGTCGTGCAATATGTTAATGTCGGCAATGGACGAGCACATTAACATATACGCCCTCCCTATCTTGAAGAATTTTGCTTCATTTCGCCCCTTCTTTGGCAAAATTAGAGGCGCATGGAAAATTCAAATTAAACATTGTTGTCAAACAAGTACATAAATGTAAAAAGATTGATTAAATAAAAAGAGAGGAGACATATTATCACGTTGTTACCAAAGAGAAGAAGTCAATCTCTCTTGTGTAAAATGAAGCAATTAACTCGTCGCATGAGAGAGAGAGCAGATTAATGTTTGGTGTTTTTGCAGTCCGTTCGCATTTCTACCTTGATTCCTTCTCGTTTCCTCTCATCAGCAAGCGTTCTTTGTACTCACGCGGAATGTAATACAAACTTCAAGACCTGGGGCATTGAATGCTCGCTCGGTTGCATGACCGGATTCATAGCAAAAACTACCTGCCAACTCTCGAGCAGGGGGTTGTTAACTTTTAATTTGGTGCATTTGTGTGTCTGTGTAATAAATCACGAATTCAATGTATCGATCTTTTCCCCCGAAGGAAGGTATTTGTAATCTTCCCTCGACTACTGTAAGGGTAATAATTGAATTTTCCTAGAATATGATATGATTTCAAAAGTCGCCCTGTCTCGAACTTTTTTAAAAGTCACTTTCGTTTGTGATTCTTCTTCCATAAGCACAAAAGTTTGACAACGCTGACTCTTTTTAATGATGTGAACGTTTTCTACTTTCAAAATGATGTACCTAAAACAAACGTTTGCTGTATAAACAAGAGGAAAAAGAAAGCGCCGCCGCGGGAAAGCTGCGCCGATGAACGTTTTATGCTGAACTCATTACTTATTATACAAAAATACGAAAACACACACACACACACTTGATCTTCTTGTATAAGTCTAAACTCGGTAAAAAGCAAGAAAAAAAACCAAAACCCTCACTCACACTATACCTATAATTTCTATAAAATAAAATGTGAACCCGTACGTACATATATATTTAATAAAATAATAAAAAACAGGACAAAAGTGGCGATTGTGAGAAAGTATAAAAATATAAATATCCATAACGCGATGCTCATTACGACGTGTGTGCGAGTGCGATGTTAATTAAGCGGGTGCGATGCGCGAGAATGTGTAAAAAGGAAATCGATGTCTGCGTGTTTATTCTCATTCTAGTCACGGACGATGAGTTGCATTATTAAATACGACACACGCAAAAAAAAAATATACTACAGGAATGCTGTACATTATGAAATACATACGAAAAAAAATGTGTACGTGGAATGAATTCGGGTGCTTCGGGTTTCGTGTGCAAGGGACCATGCAGAGTAATCGTGCGTTTTGTTTTTAACTCTCTCCTGTTCACTGTATTTATTTGTGGCGCAAAAAATTCAAAAACGCTAAAATAAAAACGAGCAAACACATTCCTTTGTTGAATATTTATTGCGCGCCTCACGCGTGACGTGCGAATGTACTCAAACAAAAACTATAATGAATTATACAACCTCTTTTCTGTATTTTTTACTTTTGTGGTCATATATATAGTTATTTCCGCCCGTGCAATGTTCACGGCAGTAAATTCCGATGAGGCCTACGTGCTAAAAAACACATTTTCCGAGAGAAAGATGTGTGCTGGATTTCTCAAATCCATCTGTGCGCTGAGATTTGACAAAAATGTTTTGGTGTCACCGTAGATGATTTGTGTATACTTCTGGGTGTTATCTCTCTCACTGGTTCTCTTATCACCACCGTTCATTTCCGCTGAATGTCTTCTTTTTAGGTACTTTTCTACTGCTACACTCAGACTTGCCTTTAAATAAAAATTTATGATTACATAACAGTCATGAATTTTGGTTTCATCATGAAAATTAGTGAAAAATATTTTAAATACAAAGCATTAATTCTAATCATTTGTCATTTTGGCGCTTCAATTTATATTCTATAATAATTTAAAATAAATCCAATTCATTACTATTTTCATTTGCTTTACTTAATGGCAAAGGTTTGTGTGTAGTGACAATCATTCAGAATAATAATGAGCCATTCGCATCAACTCCGATTGACCTTCTCACTGTATATTTGTTATACTCATGGTATTCAGTCAACATCGTTATTATCGGAACAATATTTTGTCTGCTGAGTATGTTTGAATGAAAATAAACGTTGTAAAAAGCCTTAACTGCGTGCCACTTTTTTCCACATCCCACACATCACATTATTCCACGCTCGACAATTGCAGTGTTGAAAAATATACTGATGCGTTTTTCCCAACTCGTCAATTTATTCACGCGCTTGTGAGCTCGCAATCCGCGATTTATGCACAATAAAAGCCGCCGTTAGCTGCAACGCTCCAGTTGTTGTCTATATCCGCCTGCATGAGCGAAGTTATGCAACATGTTGAGCTCGCCTGACCCAATGGTTGCATTGTGGGCGCCTGACCGCTCGACGACGCAAAAGGGAATAATCGACTCGTTGCTGGCGTACTGCGAATGACCGTGCGTAACTTTTAATGCGACTTGTTGTCTCGAGAGCTAAAGGACAATGTTCTCGTGGAATAGGCGCATTTCTCAGGAGAATCGTATTTGTTTGTTTTTATTAATAATTGTCTGCTCTTTGTATTTAGCTCAACTATGCTTTTAAGATAACTTATCCACATTTCAGGATATGACTCAATCAAATATATTAGTAATTTCTGATTATCCAATAAAAATATCTTTGCTGCATTCAATAATTTCAAGAAAGTATATTATCTAATTTTATAAGAATTTCATTTTTTTTTTCACTAAAAATAAAAAAATGATTAATGATACTTTTATTATTTTTATTTTTCTGATAATTCAACGAGAAAGTTGGCACTCCAGGAGATGTCCATAGAACTAAAGAAAAACGGGCATTGACCTCGTTGCAAAATTGTTTGGGACAAGGTCTGTAACCCTATTTTATGAGAAAGAAGAAGATTAAAAAAAAAATTGAAATAACATAAAATTGAAAAAATCACTTGAGTTCTAAAATAATTAAATAAAAATGAGAATAGTTTTTAACAAGGACAATCCCGTTTTTCTTTATTTTATTCAATTTTTTCAATTGTTTTTGAAGTTTTTAAGGCGCATTTTTTAAACACTAAAAACAAAATATTCTGTTCAAAGTGGGTCAAAGTACCGTGTACACGAAATCAACACGGTAATTTTATTCAATTGATTAGCCTGAACTAGGCACTCATTTTCAATTTGGGGATAAAGTAGAGAGCATTGGTCCGGCCGCAAAGAGGACGAATTTCCAGAGGCGGCGACATGCGGCAAATTGGGCACGGCGAGCAGCCGGCGAAATTGGGCTCGGAAATCAATATTATATAGTGAAAGAAAGGTTGGTGGTCGTGGCGGCTGCGAATCCATCATTGAAATGCAGTGTCAAAACGGAGATTGAGCCCACTTGGTGGCACACACTGGCGCGAGACGAGGTGCTCATCTGCCGACAGAGCGAACGGGTGAGTGATGGAGCAGCCTCACCTGATGCTTCTTTTGCTGCAGTGCCGAGGACAAATTCGATCGATCTCCCGCACCGCCAACAGCGCCGACCCCAAAAAGGCGTTCATGCGTTTCTAGACGAGTGAACGCGGTCAAAATTTATATGACTCCTATTACTTCAAAGAAATCTTTTTAAATTATATAGAGCTTGAATGTTATAGATTTGAATTGCAGGTTATTTATTTTTAAATTTTATTTCTTTAACAATGAAATTTTCATTTAAATAACACAGTATTTAATTTTTTTTAAATAAAAAAATTGAATTCTTCAGAAAAAATCAATCATTGTAAGCATTTTTTAAGTTAGATTGTAAATTAAATTATTGAGAAAGATCAATTATTTTATTTTTAATTAAACATTTTATTTGTTTCAAAACGTATTTTCTGAAGTAAAAAATTAAAACATGAATATTTTATTATATTATTACATATTATATAAATTGTTTTACATTTTGTGTATATAAATTAAGTTACTTAAATTTGTACAATCAGACACAAATTCTTAAGTCTTAAATCTGAAATAGCTAGAAATTAATATTATATTTTACATAATTCTAAACTTAATAATTCAACTTACAACCTAAAGAAATTTTATTTATGAGGCATTTAAAATGCTTTTTGTCAGATTGATACCTCTACTAATTATTTTCCTTGTTTTATAATGCGCCGTTTTTACGAGAATGCAATTAAAAATGTATTAAAACGATAGCCTCTACCAAAAGTATTTATTTTTCGAGAGAGCAGGAAACGATACTTGTTGAGACTCGCGGCTATAACATGCTCGAGAGAGCGTTTTTATTCCCTGACGACGAACGGTGGAGGCATTTTATTGCACGCCAAGATTTATTCATCGGTTCGCGAGTTATTTATTTCGGCTCACGGTCAAAAAGTGACTTACACACATACAAGCAAAAGAATGCGTGGTACAATAAATTCGTGCTCATGAAGAAAGAAAAATGGCAGCATAATTGAAGTCGACACGCGATGGTAACAAATTATTCGAAGACAAATTCAAGACTTCCACTTCTGCACCTGGTGGAGGAAGGAAAAAAGCGTCACGGAAATGCCCAAAATCTGGAAAACAAAGATAGCTTCATTATTCATTCAAAGGCACTCGCTTGTGTGTTTTACGGGCTGGCGTATCATGCGAAATATTCATAAAACAGGTACTGCGCTTTAGTTACTCTCTCTCTTTCTCTCTCTACTTGAAGACCGTCGTGGCCATAAAGAAGGCCGCCGTAAAAACAAGAGCTCGGGCAAAAATTCACCTTGGTGCGAGCAGCGGCACGCGGAATTTATGCCCGCAATAAAACGGCAATCAATACGAGTACACGGCGCGCGCCCAGTCAGCTGAGCAACTATCCGCTGTTGTCTGTGCCCAAAAATGCGTAAACTCGATCCGCGCCGATGGTTGTTTTATTTCGATTCCGCACCAGCCCGCTTGTAAATTAAGACCGCAAACAACCTCGTTATATAAGCAAAGAGGGTTGCCGCAACGAAATGCACAATTCAAGCTCTTCCAAAACGTCTTATTCTGCTCTGGGCTGGATTCCTGGATTGGGTTTCAACGGATGGTGATTGAAAAGAGGGTTGTGTAATATTTATTACAAAAACATTTTTTGGATTGGTGAAGTCTTTATATTATAAAAAAGGACTTATGTAATGAACATGTCAAAATACAAGGCTAGAAATTTTAGAGATTAAATCACAAGCCTTGGAAGTTTAAACTGTGATTGTATTATTTATTAGAATTATTAAGTTCTGAGACGCTCTTTTAAATATATTGATAATTATATAATAATTTCAATATTAATAATCTAATTATTAAAAATATTTTTAAAACTCATTATTTATTCAATCTGGGAAAATTTCAAGAAAATCTGCTCATTTAAAAAAAAATTATTACTCTTATAAAGTTTTACAGCATCTATGCTAAATTTTCAATAATTAAAATTGTACCTTACTAATTGTAAAATTACTAAAATTTCTTTACACTCCGTTCCGCTTAAACTTACCAAATTCTCTTGATAATATATAAAACCGCATAGATTTTCATAATTCTCTTTTGAGAAGGGTCAGCGATGCCTCAAGCAATCAACAACAGGTAATGAGTTTAGAACGCAGAGATTGCATTGGTAGTTTCTGACTTTGCGAGCGAGTGAAAGAGAGATGCGCGTCATGGGAGATTGAGAAGCCCCTAATTTATGAGGGACAAATTGATCTGGCAGCCGGTCGGAGGGGCTAAGCCGTTAGGGCTGGTTTGGCCAAACTCACCGCCCGAAAAGTGCTTAACGAGAGCGCGTAGAAAGGACCGGCCCTGAGCTGAAGGGCCGACGCGTTGGCCCGTAATCCGATTATCCGCGCCGTCCGCTGGTTCGACGAGGACCAGTTGAGCACGGCGCTTCCGTAGCAGTTTGATTGCAGCTGCTTGGTGCTCTGCCGTGCAAATTAACAAATTAATCTGCTGACCGTTGGTGACGTTTGCTGAATCGAGTGTGCATTTATATGTACTTATCCCCTACCTTGGTGATCATCTCGCTCGAAATGTAGCACACCACGCAGAAGTACGCCAGTTCGAAAATGAGAATTTGCAGCGCCGCCGAAAATCGTTCCCAGGACACGTCCTAATCAAGAATTCAGATCATGGTAAATAGAATATAAATAAATAGGATATTATGTAATGTTGTTTTCTGGAATTTTTCTCTTAATAATTAACGACTAATTTGCAGAAAAATATTTTTTAGGAGTATAGCAACAAAAGAGAATCTGTTTGAATAGATTACAGTATTTTGTATTTTACTCAAGTTTAAAAACCATTTAATTAATTGATATAAATTACGTAAATAAAAGTTTAATTTTCAACAAAAACTCTATGTTTACAAATGAATCATTTTTTTCACATAAATATAAATGTAATCATCGTAGTTATTTTATATTTATGTTACTACTAAGTTTTAATTTTAATTCCTCTATCACAAAAGGTAATTTACGAAATATATCAGTAAAACTAACAAAACATTGTGTTTTTGCCCAATCGTCACAAAATTTCATTCCCAATAGTAAATTAGAAGTATTAAATATGACCAATTGAAAATAAATATATTCAGCAAAATTTACACAATTTAATAAGGCCCGATTTTTTTCAAATTTTTTTTTTGCATTTTTAAGAATTATAATCTAATCACACATTTTTCAGTAATTTTAACCAATCAATAAAATGAACAAAATTTCCAATAATTTAAATAATATAATTTAGTTTGAGGTTTCAATAACTTACCGGCCGCGTAATATGCAACACCATAGAGCCAATTGATAAAGGCTGGAACACCCCGGCTACTTTTTGTAGAAAATAACTACAGACTCGCCAGACTCGTCAGTCGAGTCAGTCGCGTCAGTCGAGTCAGTCGCGTCAGTCGAGTCAGTCGCGTCAGGCGAGTCAGTCGCGTACATATATATATATATATATATATATATATATATATATATATATATATATATATATATATATATATATATATATTTTCACAACACAAAATGCAAGAAATGAAAAATTAAATAACTTTGCTCATGGTAATACAAAAATTTTCCATGAGTGCCCATATTTTATTTATTTTCAATTTTTTTACCTAATGGTCCTCTGGTGATGCTGGACGACGTACGTAAGGACTCTTTCAACCATCGTTTGGTAAACTTCACTTTTTCTACTCATGGGAATAAAAAACGAGCCACATTTGATCTGGTGAGGGTGCTGAATTTCATTGAGGACCGAGGATAAGTGGTCCAAAAGGTGGGAGGCAGTAATCGCCATGTTTAGGTAAAGGATGTTCAGACCAATGAGAATGCATATTCCAGGAGCTCCACAAAGCACCTTATTAATGCAAAGCAAGTGAAATTAATTTCAAGAAATTATTTTCAGTCGTTCAGCATTTCTCTTTGTTTTGTTTGTTTGTTTGTTTTTTTTTTGCAAAAAATTACGATTTTTCATTTTTTGAATTTGTTTAGAATTTAATCTCTACAATTTACATACCTGGAATGAATAAAAGATGATGTAGGTGAATGGGTATTTTTTAAAATCAAACGGGTGCCACATTCTGGCCGGCAGCCTGAATTTTTCCTCAAAGTCATCTTCGGCCTGGAAGTGCTGAGCCACAAACGGGGTTAGCATTACGCTCGGCAATACCGAAATCAACAGTGGTGCCATGAAAAACAGGTACACCCTGTTTGATGGTTTTTGAACTGTTCGTTGAAATCTTTTAACAAGCCTTTTCAATTCGTACGGAGCGCTCATATTTATGAACAGAGACAGCAGATCCTGAATACTGCCTCTCTTGCTTTTGAAGGAGACCATTGCAAAATAAACGCTCACCATGCGGAACAAGACAATTAAGGTGTACATAAAAATTGACACGGGCATGGTGCTGACGAGCAACTCAATAAGAATGAGCAGCGTTGTGGACACCATTGAAAAATGGCTGAAGTGGTACACAAACTGCTGCAGCCACGTCGAGTACTTTTTTGAGCCGTCGAACTCAAAATTCCAATAACCAAAAATTTTTAAAAGATAAATGCTGCGGCCAAATCCCCGCGACATTTCAATGGTGTAAATGATGTCTTCCTGATGAAGCACTGGGAACATTTAAAAAAATCCATGCCAATGAATAACTTTCCAAAAAAGTTAAATTTTAAACACCGATTTATCAGAAATTTGATTAATACCCTGTATGTTTTTAGTAAAATCCATGGTGCAGCAAAGTCAACCACGTCAGAATGGCGCAAAAACATAAATGTTTGTGGTGAAATCGTTGTTTTGCAGTAAACGCTCTATTCAAGCCAATTTGTTTCAATAAATAGTGGCTTTGTGCGTGAGATAACTGCCTGCGAAGCCGCGCCAAAATTCTAGTGATTTGCGTGTGTTGAAGCATAGATATTACAAAATTAATTACTTTTGCGTTGAATTATTTCAATGGTGCAGTTTGTTGTCCCGATAATTGCTACTTTCCTTCATCATCAATTCATTTGATTTTGCAGCAATTTATCTCTTTGTGAATAATTGAAATATACACTTCTACAACACGTAATAATAATGTAACAATGGTCATGAAAAATTAAAACAATTTTTCTGCAGCACTGACTTGTGTAGAGAAATTTATTCAAACGTAAGTGAAGCAGTGTTTTCTTATTTAGGCTTCTATTTTCGAAGAAAAATATTGCTTGAATTTCCACTACAACTTTTATATTGTGTATTTTAAACTTCAATGCTAAAGATATTTAGTGCTTAATTTATCAATCAATTCATATAAAGCTTGAGTTTATGGGTCTATAACAATCATTTTACTTGCCTCGCACAAATGGCGATTCAGTAAATCAAATCATTTATCAAAAAATCACTCACGATGAACCTCCAAACCACTCTGAACTGGCCATGGCGCCAAACAAGGCAGCAGCACCAGATCGCACTAGCAAATTACTGGATGCGTTATCTGATTTTGAGGTCGAAGAGATGGAAGATTTCCCCTTGCTCTGCTAAAATATAAAAATAATTAGCTTCCTCAGTCATTCAATATTAAATAGGTACCTTTGACTTCTCCTGTGCGTTTTCTCCCACCCTTGCAGCTCTTACAGAAGCTGAAGTTCCGCTAATCAAGCCTGGTGTTGCCACTGGTAGAAGAGGGAACCAGGCCGCACCTGAGGACATTGGGAGGGCAGCTGGGTCGTCGGGCGATGGGGAATCGCCCGCAATGCCACCGACGCGAACTCCACTTAGAACGGCCATTTTTGCAGGAGGAACTAGGCAACCCAGCAGATGCTAAAATTTTCAGTCAAGTTAATTTGGAAAATTAAACCATAGTGTTATTTGAGCTAACCTGAAGCCTGTATACACTTTTCTTCACATTGCTTTGCAAATAAGGCTGAAAGACGTCTAAGTCAAAAGGGTCAATTTTGGCTTCAAACTGCTCACAAGTAGACAAAGCTTTGTCATTGAGTGCCTGCAAATTAAGTTATTCTAAATTAATTGAAAAATTGTAGTTAAATTGGTATTACCTTTGAATCTCTCAGTATGAAGAGAGAAATGATAAATCTGATATCAAAAACAGCCTGAAGAGCAGCAACTTGAGGCATCGGATCAACTTTACTTAAGGACTCGTAGTTCAGCAAAAGGTGCATCAAAATGCTTTCCACAAGTTCCAAGTGCACTTGTCTAAATATAATCCGTGTATAAGGACGTAATAATTAATTGACCAAATTTTTAAACCTTGGCAGTGCATGAGGGACCTGAGTGTTTATGTCCCGACAGGAGTTGTGTAGAACCATTTGCAACGGCAGGCTCGGCTGGGCAGGCACTCTGATTGTGGAACTTAAACGGGCGCCAGCTTCACCTTCCTCCTCAATTTTTACAATATCCCATTGCTAAATACAAATAAAAGAAAAATTATAGAACCACGTCACTCTTTTGTAAGGGTTAAAAAAAGATTTTCATAAAATTTAATAAGAAAAGAGTTTCAGAATCTTACAGTAAGGGCTTGCAGAAGTGTGCACGAGCTTGTGTCAAGCTGCAGTGGAAGAAGATTTTGTTTCAGCCTTTCCGAAACAGCTACAGCCCAGATCTGCAAGATCTCTAAGCTCTCAGACTCAAGTTTCTTGCACAACTGTTGCCACTCAGCACTCGCTGCTTGCAGTGGCCCCAGCAGGGTAGGCTGAAATGCAAAAAAAAAGTAATAAAATATTTTTACCTCTGGATTCATAACTGAAAATTTTTCAACATTAATTAAGTGATAATAACAAGTAAAATAAATCTTAAAACAAAGTTTACCTTATTGCTCTCCCATACCGCTGCAGGACTCATGCACTTTTGCAGGTGAGGACATAAATCACAGATTGCCTGGATCAGGCGGCCTAGGAAGATGAGTGATGTTTCTCCGTTGACGCCATGCATAGCTTCAACTTTCTGCTTGACGAAAGTAAGAATTCTACATTTCAAAATTAATTTGGACTCTTTTAAATTTTTTCAGAAGCCTGCTTACCCTTTCATGCTATTCAGAGTGCAGTTCTGCAGGTGTGCCTGTAGTTCATTTCTGTCAACAAATTTATCGCTTTTTCCTTCACTTCTAAGCTTGTCCATCTCAATGAAGGAGGCAATGATGTCCAAATTTCCATCGTTTACATAAAACATGACGTCCTCTAACAAAATTTGCAGACTGGAATCCAAAGTGCTGCAGAATTTCTGGATGCTAGGAGAATATCCCAGCGATTTCATCAAAAGTCCTAGTTTCGATAAAAAAAATAATTATAAAGAAAATGAACACTCATTACAAAATTACCACCAGCCTGGTCAATGGTTCGAGTTGACTGTGTCATCCAACCCCCCGAGTTTGGTAAATCTCCAGCCTCTTCACTCCATATAAACCACCTCAGGTCATTTTCTTTTCTTAAATTTCTGAAAAGACATAACAAATCGAATAGTTGAAATTTAAAAACAAAATGCATTTTACTTCTCCTGATCTAGTTCATGTAGACTTTGACCCAATCTCGTCTTCATCTCACTCAAAATCTGCTCAGTTTGATTTTGAATGATTTCCCTCACTCGCTGCGTTAAAAGAGGGCGATAGGCAATTTCCCAAACGCTTAATTTTCCAAACTTGGGTCTGTTGATTTTTGAGAGCATAGAATGCACAGCTTCTCTGATTGACTGGATCTCATGCACAGTATTAACAAAATTCATAAGCTGGCCTAACTTCAAAGCCACAACAGTCTGCACTTCCTTGACCCAATTACTCTGCATGTGCTCCAAATCTGCAGAACTTCTTAGTTCCACCGGCATTGCCAAGGAAAGTCTGCAAAGCAAATAATTATAAGATGTTTTAGATTCTCTTAAAGATTGTTAATTACTTATAGTTTTTGACAACCGGAGGAAGGATTGCGATTGTTTCCGGCTGTAAGCAGCTGGCTAAGGTGCATATTGGAGGTGAATTTTGTCCGACAATTTGGTCCAGGGTATCTTTAAAACTCTCGCTTCCTGTTTCTAATTTTTTTATAAAATAAGATTTGTAAATATTAAAATGAATACCTTGAAAACAAGTGTTGAAAACGGTGAGGGTTAATTCTGCTAGTTTCAAACTTTGCGTGACTTGGCTTTTGATGTTCGAGTTCAAGTGGTCACCATCCAGTTTACTTTTCAAAGACTCCAACCTCAACACCAGTAACTTCTCCTGAGCCTGGCTAGCAGATAGTCCGCAGAGCAGGATCAAAACTACTACACACTCGGACGCCTCCTGTTAATTAATAAAAAACCTCGTTAAACCCCCCAATAAAAATTAATTTTATAACAAACCAAATCAGTCAACTCGGTCCTCTTAATTTTCTCCTCACATCCCTTCACAATTTGGTTCTTAAACGGCTTCATTGATTCCCACTGTTGCTCCAAAATCGGGAAACACTTTAAGACTTTCTCACTGCTTATGTCCTTGGAATGATTTCCGATGTTAAGTTTTAAGCCTGCATAAAAAATCGTTAAAATTTTCTTTTCACACCAGATTTTAAATCTTACTATTGACTACACTGCTAGAAAAGAGAAACAATTGTGTGGCCAAGAGATAGTTTTCCTCGTCAATAGCACTCCATATTTGTTCAGGGATCAAAATCAAAATCCGAACCTGCACAGCCACTGTGTAATAGGCCAAATTTGCTGCATTCCTGAGTATCAGAGATTTTAGTGGTCAAGAAATTAATTACTTCTAGTGGTTAACCTTTTAAATCTGGCCTGCTCAGAATCCTGCCTGAACCCCAAAAGATGCACTTGCTGCAGCTGCTTGCACATGTCGGACATCCCATCGATTTGGCCGATGACTTCAAATGAATTATCCTTCATCTCTTTTATGGTGTCTGCTGCTTGTATCAAGTCCCTGTACCTCTCCCTGCATAAAATTAAAACATTTTAAGTTATAAAAATGTCTGCAAGAAATTGTTCTTTTTAACAAAATTGGCATAATATATGTATATCAAATTATAATATATATTTTGATATATTTTTTAAATCATATAAAAATTAAAAATGATCATTTTAATCGTACCCAACCATAGTGCGGATTTCCACCTTCTTTCTCTCAATTTCCGCTTGCAGTTTTTTTAAGATTTCCTTGATTTCAGGCACCGTATTCTCTTCAAAAACTTTGTCTGGGACCAAGTCCACCATCGACCTGTACTGGTGGTTCGGCATCATGGAGTGCACGGTTTTCCCACAGAAGGTTGCGCGTCTATTTCATTAAGATTACATTGGGAAATCCTGATTAGTATGGAACTTCGAAGAATTTCAGTCGGGGCCGGCAATTGAAACAAGAGCAAATTATTTATTACACGAATGCACATAGAAAGACAACACGTCAATTTTATAAACAGTGACACGCCCACATTTCGTCTTTCGCACATGGAGGTCCGGCAGGTCGCCGAGAGAGGTCGTGATAGTTTTAGAGGGGGATTTGGGCGGTTTGGGGGGAAATAAATCCCGCGAAGAGGAGAGACGTCAGGGACGTAGAGAGAGAGAGAGAGAGAGAGAGAGAGAGAGAGAGAGAGGTCAAATCTTAAATCTTTTTCCGATTGGAATTTGAAAAGTTAAAAACTATAGGAACACAAACAATTCTTGTTTGGCTTCGTGTGCTGCTTCCATCTCGCTATAATGGCTGCTCAACCCCAACTACGGGTTGAAATTTACGAAATTTACGATTTATGCGATTTATAATAAAACCTGCAGTCGCATTGAGTGCTCTAAAATTATTAAAATCAACGACTTACAATTAAACCAGTCATTGAGTGCTCTAAAATTTTCGAAATCAACGTCTTATAATTAAACCAGTCAATGGGTGCTCTAAAATTTTTGAAATTTACGACTTATAATTAAACCAGTCATTGAGTGCTCTAAAATTCCAAATTTTTTGAACCGCTTAATGTTAAACAAGTTTTTGTGTGTTATTTTTGCTATTTTACATTTTATTAATTCAATTTAATCTATTATGACAATTGTCTTCGTTCCTCTAATGCACTTCAATCTTCATACAGTTCATGTAGTTTCACGTAACAACAACGGCTGCATAATTTTTTTATGGCGTATATAACTTAAATTTTAACTAAAGCTGTAATCAGTGTTATCGCTTGTTTTAATATCAAACAGCTCCATTACTCAACTTGTACACAAAAGTTTTACTCATAGTATTTTTTTCTTTCATGTTTGTATTGCAGATTATTTTATTATAACTTCAACTTTGAAATTCCATTTTACACATGACACTACTACACTATCATCAGTACATTTATTACCATCTTTTCATATTTTTATTTTATTTTACAATGTTTCTATTCCAACATTGGAATTCAACGTGTAACATTATTGTAGGCTAAGTAAGACTAGCACACCGTGTTTTTAGTTAACTACCATTGAATTTTTATTATCTTTGTTTTGCAAACATGTTTAGTTGCGTGATTCCTATTAATCCTATTTATATTTTACATACCTTTATTTTTTGCACATATGATTATTTCGCTCAATATCGCTCACGGCATATTAATCAATTGTCTATAAATTGCTGATAGGCCGGGAGTCTCATTTTTTATCGCAGTAAATTTTAAATTTAGTATTTTCCAATTTTCCTTTATGGTCAACGTTGAATTAAAAATTTTCCATAAAATCATAAATTTTCAAACCTCCATTATTCTCATTTTATTTTTACTATCATTCCTATCATTAATATGTGCATACGTCCTGCTGCGCTGTATAGTTTTTCTGAATAATATCTAATTTTGGGGCAGGCATATATAAAAATTATAAAATATATTATAGAGAAATTACCTGCTGAAAGAAATGGGTGCAGTCTGGGAATCAGTTTTTGAGTTTTAATGTTGTAGAAAGGTTCACGACAAAATACTTTGATTTTCATATTGGAATATAAATATTCCTAAACAAGTATCCTGAATTTTTTTGTCGAGATTTAGTTTGGCAGCATAAGAGCAGTATTTGTAGCGAGAACAATAATTGTGTCTACAGTTCATTTCTTTTATTGCGCAAGTGAGTTCAAGGTTTAGAAAAAAAACTGAAAATTTAAATTGAGACCAAAATTGTGAGCAAAAACTTGATGTGGCTAGAAAACCACGCAGCAATAAATCACAAATACGCCGCGTTGCAAAAATTCTCTTCTCCAAGTCCAAGGGCCAACAAGAGAGCGTATTGGTGAACTATTAAATTGGGTTGCCATCAATGTTGGTTTAGTGGCCTGAATTTGATGTTTGATGCGCCTGCCTGGGGCGGAAAATGTGGCAAAGCGCCCAGAAATCGCAGATATTATGGCACCAGATCAATTTTCTTTATTTATAGGGAGAGACGCAAGTTCAGCTATTATACTCAAACTGGGTGGGTTGAAATGCGTAATTTTCTTCAATAACCTGCAATAACCTATACATATCTGTATACATATGTTATTTTCAATAACATTCTACTTGTAGATCAGTTTGAAAATTTAATTTAAGATTTCCTTTCTGCGCTTTCACATTTGCATTTGCACGTAGATAAAATAAATTAATTATCCCCTTTTGAAACTGGTGCATCTGATTGTGAATTGAACATTTTCCGATGTTTTCTGAACTGGCAATTTTGTTTAAATTTATTTTTTTTATTTTTTAAATCTTCACCTACAGAAATTAAAAGTAACTGTTATTGCGACTTGTTTGGGAATTTTTGTTATGTTTTAAAGCTAAACTTAAAAGATATCGAGCGATCGAAACTTATTAAAATAACAACAATATCTGATAAAGCGCGTCAGTTGCGTCTCGTTTTGCTAGTGCTAGTAGGCAATCTATGTGTGGTATTTGCCTCTGTGGTTTGAAAAGTTTTTCCGTATTTTTCAATTCGTTTTTTGGAAAATAATTTCTTGATCTTGAGTCTATTAAAAAAATATTCATATTAATACGTCGATGGAAGTGTTTTGAAAATTCCAAAGTCGCACTTTGGACTCTGGCTTAAAATAAAGGCAAAGCAGTAAATGATTTTCTCAACCTTATCAAAACATCATGAAAATCTCTAACATATTTTTGACGGACTCGCACATTTGAAGGTGGCTTTTTGAGAGGACACTTGTTGACAAACATTCAATCTTCCTTTAGAGTTTTTAACATCAATTCGTTTGGATATTGGTGTTTCCAAATTCAACAGTTGCGAGCATGTGATCTCACTTGGAAAATTCTTGACAGTTCAACTCAATTCGTTGGCAGTAGGTTCATATTTTAAGGTTTCAAAGGCAATTATTAAGTATTTTGAAAAATATTTTGAAAAACAAAAATCACAATTCGCTTAACGCATTATTTGACGAAAGTTTCAAGACGATTTTAGGAAATTACGCACTTGTCCCTGGAGCCACCAAAGCGAAAGTCGCGGCCAATTGGCGAACACAGCGTGGTTGGCTCTTTGCTGCTGTTGCTTGGCCGACCTTGCAAGGAGCCTCCGTGGGCTCCGCTGACCAGGTCGACGGCCCTCATCAACTCTTTAAACACCGACACGACGTTCCAGTTGTACTTGGCACTGCACTCGACATGTGGGCACTTCCAGTGCTTTCGAACGATGTTCACGATATCCCGCTTCTCACGCGAGTTCTCCGCTGCCATTTTTTGCAAACCCTAACGGAGGGAAAAAAAGACTTTCAATTTGGCACATTATGAAACATCATAAAGTTGTAAATGCAGTCAATTTTTATAATCAAAATGTTTTAGATGTCTTATTTCACAACTAGAATAATATAAATTGATAGCTATATAAAACAAGAAAATAATAGCAATTTTATAATATTTTTTGTTAAAAAAAATACTGCTAATTTTGATATCTTTTTTTTTAATTTAGAATTTTCTATGTAGAAATAAAATTTTTGCGACAGAATAACAATATAATTTAATAGCCATTATAAGAGGGATTAAAATGGTTTATTAATCAGAAAATTCAAGAATTTTCCTTGCTAAATATTCCAGCCAAAGTGATTCGAACAAGAATTTAATTTTAAAATCAAACTTCCATACAGGGAGATACACAAAATTTAATATACTTTGTATCTTATAAAAAAAAATGTCACTAATTTTAAGTTAAAAATTTAAAAATATAGAAGATAATAAATAGAAATTTAAAAAATAAAAAAACCATACATTTTTCAAGAAAATTTCAATTAAATGGAAACGCTGTTTTTCCATAATATATTTTTTACTAAACTTATTAAATATTTTTAATATGCTGAATAATTATGTTATAATTTATTTGCTTGTCAATTTTATTTAGACTATCCAAAGGGTAAGTCAACTTAATTTGATCACACACTTGCGTCAATCAACAGTTTTAAGAGGGATTGATTATCGACGCCCTGGGCAAACTCTCCTGCGAGTAGATATATATAGCCCTTCCGCTGAAAAGTTTGTGCCGATTTCCAGGAAAGCGGACCGAGCGCGCCAAGATCAATAGTCCCCCAACTAACGCTTAAAGCGATAAAAAAAGTAGCGGCGTGAAAGCACTCGTGCTGCTTCCACCGATCAACTTCTCTCACCTGCTCCATCAAATTAACTGTGCTGGTGGCCGAGTTGATGTTGGCGACGCCGTCTTGCACCAAGTCCTGCTTGTTGCCTACGACCAGCACAGGCACGTTCCGCATGTCTCGGCTCTCGGCCATCTGCTCTCGCATCGTCCTGATGTATTGGAAGGTCTCTGTGTTGGTCATGTCATACACGAGCACATAGGCCGTGGCAGAACGCAGGCCGTAGAATCGGTAGTCGGCCCATTCGCTAAATGAGTTGTGCGGAAAGTAGGGAATAACTGGGATGTCCGAAATTTTCAACTCGTACAGGTGGCTATTAATGATGACGGTCGGGTAGTAGGTTTTTTTGCGTTCGGTCGTTGAGTATTGCTCGCGAAACTCATTCCAAACAAATTGCTGAAACAATAAAGTATAGCTATAAAATAAAATCAATACATCAGATCAATATTTCTTTTAAACAAAATTATTCCTTTAACAGAAATTTTATCTATTCTATGGAAGATTTACTTGCCCAGGTAAAAATTTTATTTTTTAATTTCTATTTTTAATTCTTTTAATTAAAAAAAATAATGAATATTTATTATGTATCTTGAATTACCTCAATAATTGATGATTTGCCCACTCCCGCTGCGCCAAGCAAAATGATTTTGACGACCTGAAGGCAATCGGCCTCATTATCCTGAGGAGTGGCAGAGGTCGTCGAAAGGTCAGGGTACAAGGGCAACAGGTCTGGCACTGGCGGTCGGTACTGGCGCCGCTTCGAAGACGATTTGTCACCTCGTCCGCGACTTTTCTTTCGAATAGAGGTAGAGGATGGGCCCGCCCATCCTGTGGCGTCCTCGAGCAATTCCGTCTCCAGCTCTGCGGAAATTTAGACATTTTTCGTTTGTTAAAATATAGAGAGAAAATTACAATTTATTTAGTAACAAATTTTAAAAATGAAAACAAAAAAGACGGATATTGCAAATAATAGGTTAACAGGTTAACGATACAATCAATTAATTGTTATATGTATGTAGGCTCGTGCATTGTAGTTGATTAACTTTGTATTGAAAATTTGATGATAAAAATCCCAAAAATGATGATGTATTAATGCAAATTCGAAAAAATCAGCGAAAATAATATTTTCATATGTTTATAGCAAAACAATTCCTCAATAAAAAAAATCAACTAAAACCGACTATTTTTGCAAAACCCAACTAAAAATAGTCGACTTTTTGACCCCCAAAAACCGACTAAAACGTTATTTTACATGCTATACATTTTTTGTGTGGCTATTTAAAATAAGGCGAACCTCAGAGAAGAGTTTACTTAAGTTCAAAATAAATAGAGCTTGTTCTCGTAATTTAAAAAAAAAAATAGTTAGTAATGAAACGATGATATAGAATTCGCTCTAAGCGAGACGAGTACTGCAATTAGTACCTTCGCACTCACGCTCAATTCCCTTTGAAATTTCAATTGATTCTGCCGTAAGCCGGTTTCGTTCTACGCCAGCGCTCGCTCTCTCTCAAATTTATTATCCACCCCCTCGCTCAGCGAATGGCCTGCTCTTAACAAAGCAAATAAGGAGGTTGCATAACTCGATTTGCACAGCGCTAAATTATCGTGATGGTCTGCGAGCGGAGGAAGCCAATTTCCTGTCATTTCGCAATGGCACTGACTAATGAGAGGGCGGCGGCGCCACTCTCAGGATGGAAAGACACATCAAAAAAGACCTGCAGCCGCTGCACGAACGAGAGAAGAGAGATTAGCAGAGGTGGCATGAAAGGAAATAGCTGCTCTTTTAATCTTATATTCTCTTTTTTATTTTTAAAACCGTTCGAACCATGGGTCAAGGGTGCTGTTTCATTCTGAGTTGTGCACTTCCTACCACAGACCAATCAATAATAACAAGGGAATGCAAATCACCTGTCTACACTAACAGACAGTTGCGCTGGAGATTACTGGATTCTTTTACTGTATGTCTTTGTTTGCACATATGTAATTGTAATCCACAATACTTCAATCATTTCCAGCTTTTATAAATTGGAGTTCTACCCAAATTTAAATTACAATACTTTAAAAATAATAAATTCTTTTAAATGTATGTTAAAAAGGTAGCTAATTTTAAGTCAGTGGAGGTTTAATTCACAGTTATTTGTATGCCTTATAAAACTTGGCTCTACTGGTCTTAGTAACTTGGAAACGCTAGTCTCTTTGTCATAATAGTTCAAAACCCGCACAATCGTCAACTATGAATTGTTACTTAACCTCCCAAGCTCGTTAGAACTAATTTCAAAGTTTGCCGATGACGAACGACCGCCGCAAATCAAAATCTACAGAAAAACTTCAGCAGGATTAATTTAAACGCTATTTGAGAGTGTCTTCCTTTCAATTCAGTGGCATTCCTTTGTGACGGGGTAGCATGAAAAATATTGTATGCACATTTTATGACGAGAAAAATAGGAGAATGGGGAACAATAGAAGTATGGCAGGCAGTATTATCACGGGCCATTGTGAAGAAAAGAAGGTCAGATAAGTGGAGAGGCGATTTTCTGCCACGAAGTTTGGTCGATTGTACGCAGCTGGCCTATTCCCAGGCGAAAGATGATACAGAAGCAATGACTTCCTGCAACAGTCTCACGTTTACGTATTTTTTGTTTTTTATCTTTTCCACTTTAGATACAAAAATGCGACATTCATGTCGCAACGTTTCTTTATGTGTAAATAAAAATTAGGATAGTAAATTTATTTTTCAATTCAAGAACTGATAAAAAATTCTTAATAAAATCTGATCAGCAAGTTTTAAGAATCTATTTTTATAATATAAAATCTCTAGAGGCAATTGAAAAACGCATGCACCTCTCCGCCACAAGTGTGCTTCATTAATCACATGAATTCTGCTTAAAATCGATCCAGAATATTAGCCTGGTGCTAAAAACCGTTCTCTCGTCACGCTACGCAAATTCAACGACGCAAATGAGATTATATTGAAACGACATTCTGCGCGTGGCAAAAACAACACCGAGAAGTGACAGCTAAGGCAAAAAAGCAAATCACATTACTGCGGTGCTCATCGCTGTCGAGCATAAAACGCGCAATCAATACTCACGACACCAGCCAGCAATTCGTGTTTATGCAACCGGCGGGGCACATCTGCTCAGCGGGTTGCTCGCCCACTTGTTTCGCAGGCGTTCGACGGTTATTTAGTGCAGTGCTGGCTCGATATATTCGGCTTTTCCATCCGGATGCTTTTTTGCCACAGCATCTCCAATTTTTTTCGTTCGATGATTTAGTTGGCCGCTGAGAGTCGACGACCCACTCCATGCCTTGCCCTTCTCTAGCCACACGCGTGACTGAACTGCGGATCTTTCCGGCCGGAATGCCATTTTCCCGCTAGCTTTTCGTGCGAAAATGGGCCATTTTTGCGAACAGCGGAAAGCTTTCTCTCTCTCTCTCTCTCTCTCTCTCTCTCTCTCTCTCTCTCTCTCTCTCTCTCTCTCTCTCTCTGTTTTATGTGTGAGTGTGCAAAAAGGAAAACTCGCTGCCAGCGAGAGAGTGAGAGAGATTTTCCTCTCATATTGATTCTCGCTCGCATTCACGCAGACGGCGCGCACCAAATTCGTTGGTGCACCCTACAAACTTTCAGAACATGAATGTGCGTATAGCGTTGTGTGGACCCCGCAGCCGCCGCCACCGTCGCTACTAACCCAGATCTTGCTCCTTTCTAACTAGTCCTGCGTGTTTATTTCTGGAGTGGGACCAGCCGAGGCAAAACAAAAAAAGAGAAACACAAACGCACGCCCAGAGAAGGCGGTTTGTTTCGCATCTGCAAACAATTCCGGCATTTTTAGCAGAGCAGCAACTTTTTTATTAATTTTATCAATGATGTTTTACTTTTTCTTGCTCGTAAAATAAAGTGAAAGAGTGGCGCGTTTGTTTTGGCTGCGCGCTGAAACTTCGCCACTTACGTTAGGAACAAACAATGCACGCCATTCCAATTTGCTCCAAGCGATTTGTGAGAAACGTTAACTAAGCAAGTTTAGCTTGCTCTGCACGCTACTCTGACGGAAATTTCGCTTGCACGAAATGTCATTTATTCTTTACAAACACGCTCCGACGTTCAATAAAATTCAAACGATCTAGACATTGCGTGATTCAACTACACAAATAAAAATCAATAAAATAATTTGCTTGATTCTTGCCATGTTTGAATTAATAATTTTTTTGATGGTTAGTTTTCTGAGTATAGTTGAATATGTTTTTACAAAAACAATTAAATTGTGAAAAAATGAAAGACTCAAATATCTCGTCAAGAAAGCCGAATTTAATTTTAAAATAAATTAAAACGTCTTGAATCAAACCTCGATTATGAAATTCTTTGACAAATACTTAACAAGTTTTTTTCAATTATTTTAATGTGCAATGTTCTAGCCTTCTTGGTTTTTTCTCTAAAAAAAATTTAAAATTAACTGCTTGTCAGCTCATCAAAAAATGAGAATTATTGTATTATTATTTAAAATTGAATTAAATAAATAAATTCAATTCTTTAATATCTCACAACAAATCAATATAGGAAAATAGAAAATCACCATATATCTGCTAAATAAAGTTTGTAGCACGCATTTTAAATGTTTGTCTTTCACATAAATCTTACTAAATAGAACATAATAATTTCAGATATCCAATTCAAAAAAAACTTTTTCAGCCAACGACAAAAGTATTTTAAATATAAGCTTTCCATTTCAGATCCTTTTTTCAAGTAAATTCAAAAAAAAATTAACTTATTATGAAATAATGTTGAGATAAAAAAAAATACTGTTTCAAAATAAAATAACAAATCCTTCAAATTTGGTTTAATAACTGAAATTACGTTTTTTTTTTTTTTTTTTCATTTCCAAAGCTTGTAATTGCACGCAGTAGTTGAATTAAAAACACATTAATCAACAAGAGAATCAGTCGCTTTTAAAAAGCTTTGAAGGCATACGTGCGTGACTGTTCACACACTCTGAAGGGCGGCGGAAGTCAGCAGGGCGCGAGTGAACAAAGAACGTGATGCAAAAAACGAGCGAGCACGCGTTCAACAGGCTGCATCAGCACTCGGCGAACGCGCATCACACATCGGAATCACGCGTCGTACGCCAGCACAGCTGGTGATGAGCACCACCCGACGACGACCACCACCCACCCGATCTCGGCGATTCGGAATTGTGCGCTCCCGAATCGGAAATCAAAGTGATTCCTATGATGCAAAAATAAAAGCTCACCTGCTTGAGATTCAAAGGGCGGCACGGCGAGTCGCGCGGGGGCCCCTCATCTCGCGTCGCGGATCAATTCAAATGAGCAGCATATTCGGAGCGGCAGGTGCACCCTCCCAAGAGCAGCGCTGCTGATGTGCTGCACATTGGACGAGTTGTGCGCCCCGATGATAAACCACCAGCCAGCATCCAGCGCAGACTCATCTGGGCTCGCCGGATCGGTAGCGCTTGTGCGCTCCTTGCCTCCTCTCGCTCAGTGGCGCAAGCGGAGCCACCAAAAGAGAACCACCAGAGAGCGCACGCAGGGTTAATATTGGGAAGAGGGAGCCAAAATTAGGCCAATGCAAATCGTGTAAAACACTAATCTCTGCGTTTTAATTGCAATTATTTGACGTACATTCCAATCACAGTCTGCTATAATCTTTTTTAATATGTTTCTTATTTTCCTTTATTTTTTAATCGTTCAAGTAAAAAAAAAAATGCTTTTGTATGATTAAACCAAATTAAACGGAGAAAATATCTTGGATTACTGTTTTACATATTTACGTTTATTTTTGTGCAGTTAGAATAAATAAAAATTCTTTCAAAATAAAAATTATTATGAATAATTCTTTCTGTAATATTATTAAAGTTTAGGTATTATTTCTGTCCCATTTTTTCTTTCAAATTATTTAGAAAAAAATATTTGAAGAGACGCACCAAACAAAAATGAAATATTTGTATTATTGTTAATTAATCCCTTCTGTTGTGAGATAACATACTTATTACATATCACCAGTTTATCTATGCAAACAGCACCACTTTTTCTCGCAAGTACGGCAATGATTGCGGTCAAACAGAGCAATTTGCATAGCAAATAAGAAAGACGTGCTGAGGTTGATCCCAAATTCGCCGGCTCTGCGCTCATTAGCCCCATTCCAGCGCTCCCAGCATGCTCCCATCTTCATCTTTGAGCCCGCGCGGAGACAAAAGCTCCTTTACTCGCAGCATAGTCTTTCCTTCCCCCTTTGTGTGCACGTACGTGTATACGACAAGCAGTAATTACAACCGCTACTGGTTGTGATGAGATGGCACCGCCCGACTCTCTTCGCGTTCGAGGGTGTGCCATTGTGTCACAAGAAAGAAAATGCTGATGAGCTCTGGCCGAGCGTGGAGGTTCATCAAACGTAGGAGAAAGCGTGACCCAACCACTAATGACTTTCTTTTGTATGAATTTAGTGAGCCCATAAGAAAATATTTAAAAAATATTTTTAAATTGGAAAAATAATGATAATAATAATTGTATTTAATTTAAACCATTCATAATTCAATACACCCGCAACACAAAAAATTTATTTTTATTGTAGATTTCTAAGCAAAATTTTTATTTTAGAATAAAGCAAAAATTAAAATATTTTATAATGCTGCATAATCCATGGCATTTTATAAATTGAAAATTATTAAATTAAGTGAACTTTCTTTTGTGAAGGAAGAGATTTTACTAACAAAGGCGGAATTGCAATTTAGTATGATGCTGGAAGTTATGTGGATTAGGTCCTGACAAAGGGAAGGATAAATTCTTATTTCATGTGTCATTTCCGTTTGAATAAAGTTTATGAGATAAAAAAGGTAAATGAATTCCGCCTATTTCATCTTCTCTGATGCGTGTTTACCCAAGCGAATCAATTTCCATCTTGATCTTTTGACATCACAGTGGCGAATGTCATTCTACCCACCGGCAACCCCTTTGGGATAAAAGAGCCGCATGTGCTGAAAGAGAATAGCGGCGCGCGTTTTGTTGCCATCGGTGGCGGCGGCATTTACCCCTTCTGCTATATGTATGTACATGCGAGTCAGAAAGTGATTGCTCTGGATGATTGATAACAGGTTAGCTCTACTGCGGCTGCTGGGAGCAATTTACCCTTGTTTTGTTTTTGTTTTTTGCCTCTTCCCAAACGAGAAAGATGAAAAGAGGCGCCGACGAAATACACCCTGTATTGATCTAGCTCCAGCAAACGCTAGAGGGAACTGTGCTGCATGGTCCAAGCAGTCGCCATCTGTGTCCCAAATGAACACTTCAAATGGACCGTTTTTGTTAAAATATATGGAAGCTACATGGAATACCAAAATTTGGCTTTTGAGCATAATAATAAATGCTAAGTTTAACACTAGAGCAAAGTTAGTTTTTTATTTATTTTTGGCTGTGATAAATTTTAATCTAAGAATAAAAAAATTCCTCCATATTCAATTATAAAAATTAACTTTGATGTTTTTAACAAACATACTGTTGGGCAATTGTCCTCAGAAAACAGGCTTTTCTTACACTAGAAGCTTCTCTCTTGATATCATCATTATTGTTCCCATTCAGCTCCAAAAGGCCCAAATACTTGTTCTAAAAATAAATTATCAGAAGATAAAAAATAATTTAAACTAAAATAGCTTACAGCTTGCTGACGTCTATCCTGCTCCCCTCTCTTGTAATGTAAATGCACAAAGAATTCAAGCATTGTGACATCCCAAATGCAGTTGTAGTAGGCATCCATGGCGTCTGCACAATTTTTTTCCTGCAGACTTTTGAATGCAGTTGCGTAATCCACGTCATCTAAAAACTGGCAAAGCACTGCCGCCTTGAAAATATTGATTGATAAAAAAATCAAAATCTTCACTTAATGTAGCTATATACCTGTGTATGACACTGCAATTGAGTACAACACTTGATCATCCTTTTGTACACTTGGTCGTCAATTTCAAATCTCGGCACTGGACGACTGAAAAATCCACTAACTGTGATGCACGCTTGCAAATAATTTTTCAAGGCACTGGCTGAGAAACCATTGGCTGTAGAGTGGAAGAAATTATACAATACATTTAACACAGGATGGCTAAAATTTACCGAAGTTGATGTCGCCCAAGACTTTAAGCCAAGAGACATTGTCAGGATAGTACTTCAAGGCCTGTTGGAGCAGGTCTGAAAGAACTTCGCCAACCATCCTACTGCTGAATGAGTTTGCACTGCAAAAATAGTCATAATAAATACATTTTTCTTTAATCTAAGCAAAAAAACTTACTTGCTAACAACTGCAGGCCACAGAGCAGCATACTCTACATTGAGTTCCAACGTCGGCTCGTCCTTCAGCACATTGTACAATCGGGCAAGAATCGAGACAGCCACAGATATCGTTGTAGGCTCTCGGAGTCTTGAAAGGAATTGTTGGAACTGTGCTCTGCTTTGCACAGCAGCAAGCCCTGGTGAATCCCTCATGGAAACTGGTTGGCCCGTCGAAGTTCTCTTCAATCCACCAGATCCAAACACTGTCAAAACTAAGCAAACCAATGAATAAGTAAAAAATTAATTCTAAATTAAATTTACTTAGATCCCAAGCTTCTCTTCTTGAAACTTTTTTAGTTCCTTTATGCTTTGTTATATCCAGACATGCAAACGAAAATGCACCTGGCATTTCAAAGAACAAAGACCGTCTGTCCAGGTTGCTCAAATAGTCCCACTCTCCTAAATTCAACAGCGCCAGTGCACAGTGCTCCAAAACTTCTGACCTTGGGATCATTTGTTCTCCTGCTTGCAAACTACTCAGGCAAGCTTTGCAGTGAGAAGCCAACTCCATATTTGCTAATTGTTAAAATTTTTAATAGTTCAATATAAAAATAAAAGTTAAATTGATGTTACCATTTGTTTTTAAATCTACAGGCTCAGCTGCAGGAGGCAAAACAGGCCAATCGTTAAGAAACTGCAAGACGGAGACAAGAAGCACCTCCCAACTGACCAGACGACCAAGTTTAAATGCCAAATTTCCAGGAAGGGTGTTGAGCTCCAAGTGAACTTCTTTTTCTACAGACTTCAATAGTGAATGGGCACCTTCGTAGTCTTCTGATAAAGTTAGCTCTCTTGACTTTGCCAAGAGAATGAAGGTCAAATCTTGCAATATTCCACGGGGCAGAGCCATGACCGCCGAGTGCACAGGGATTGGCAACTCCCACTAAAATTTGTTCCGATTGTGAGAAACCAAGAATAAATCGGAATAAATATTATTTTAATTACCTTAGAATTAAGCTTCATTGGTGGTTTCATTGGCCCTCCAGCATTAAGCAGGGTAATTAAATGTTTGATTTCAACGGGATCTGAACTCAAAATAAGTTTTTGCTCCAGCATACCCTTTTGTAATTTCACATTCCCTGGAACATAAAATTTTATTTGTCAGCTTGAGCAAATAAAATATCTCACGTATTGCATCTTTGGTGCCATGCCAACAGGGCTTTAAATTATGTGAGGTTTTTTTCAGCTTCTTTGTGTAGTGCTTGTTCTGTTCTGGAGAGAGGATTGAACTCAATTCAGGAAGCGTCAATACAGCTCTGTCTAAATTTGGAACCCCAGCTTCAATCAGGTCTAACAAGAACATCTGGAGGTTTGCTTTCACTTGTTTGTCTGCAGCCGATAATACAGCTTTCAATGCCTGTACAGATTATTTTAATTTACAAAATATTTTTCTCTTTTGTTTCAAACCGCAATAAACTTCTCCAGGCCTTTGCTATTACTCTGCCTCAACTTAGCTGCTAAATTCACAGTGTTGGGCATTCCATCAACCGCTCTTCGAACAGAGTTTAATATGTGAACTTGCAGAAGAAGGTCCCGAGCAACAAAGAAATCTCCGCTGCTGGAGGCAGCTTGGATTTCCAACTCAAGCACATCACGGTGATTGATGGGAATTTCCCTGGTAAGATTGTCTTTTTGAAGAATACTCACAATGCCCTAAGATTTTGTAAAATAGTTATAGATACATCTATATATACAATTTTAAAATAAATTAATTAATTACATTGAAATGATTGGATTTGCACGTGAGAAATTGCACAAACAAATCGTGCTCTTCTTCGCAGCTTATACCCAAAGCTTTGCAGTAACCTTTCAGTGTTTCTTCCTCAATAATGCAATACACTTTTGATTTGGGCAGATTTTTGTAAATTTGGAAAGCCTTCCAAATGTTTTCTCTTGCTTCTTTGTATTGCTCTCTTGAGAAGTAGAAGGCAGCCAGGTCAAAGTGTATCTAATTAATTTATAGCTCAAATTAAAAAAAATTCTTTGTAAAAAAAACTTACTTGACAGTGGACTTCTTTATCTGACGCTTTGATGCATGTTTCCCATTGCTGTTGAATATCTTCACTGTCCTCAGTCAAAGGCTCAAACGTTTCATAGATTGGAACATTCAGTGTCAAATTAGGGTTTGAACTAATCTGGTTCAAGATGGCAATTGACTGTGGGACTTGAGATTCAATGTTCATCAATAACTCGTCCAGCAGCAGAGGAGGAACAGGGCTTTCAAATGAGGTAGATTAATTTATTTTCAAATTACAAAAATATAGATTTACATTTGAAAATAGTTCACACGAGGCTGTTTGGCAGACATTCTGGCTCCAGACACTGCTCTGAGAACCCAACGATGATAAAGAAGGACGGCAAAAAGCTCCTGAGCACTGCAGCCTTGCAGATTCACTTTCTCTTGAGCAGAATCAGACAATTCTTTCTGCTCTCGACTGACAAACAACAGATCTTGGAGAAGTGTAATTTGCATTGGAAGAGGCAATCTGCAATACATAAAGTTATTATGGAATTGAGCATGTATATTGCAAGTAAGAATATAAAATTATAACAATCTGCAATGATAAAAAAGTTGATATGTGTATATAAAATTATAAATTAAATAATATTTTTTGTGTTTTATTTATGTAATATGTATGCATTTTACTTTTGTTCAATGGTTTCCAAATTCCACTTCAAGAAAGCTGCTATTTTCAGGGACATTATTTTCAGAGCCAAGGATTTTCGGCTTCTGGTGTTATTCGGCTTGGGTGTTTCTACCGGCTTATCATCCAAATTGTCGACTGTTGGCGGTGGAGGCTTCTCTACGACGGGAGCCGAAGCATCCGAGGATATTGACATAAATTTCATTATCAAATCGGTGGGCGTCGGATCTGCGAAGCACGATTTATCATAATAAATAAAAAAATCTTTAATACTTTAAATAGTGTAAAATAATACCTGGTTTTGCCTTTTCCAGATGCATTTTGAGGCTACAAGGGTTGAGAAGAAATTCAAACCACAAGACAGAGTCGTTGTTCGACGGCCACGAACCGGCGCGTAAAGTTGTGGATTCCATCGCTAGCGTTTTATTAAACCAATAACTTGAACTTTAATTTCCTACAAAACGCATTTTTGTAACTCCATTTTGACGTTGCGTTCAAAACACAAACAAAATCACGAAAATTGTCCTGTTGCTCTTTGTTTTCTTTCTTGTTTATGGTTATGGGGGAGGGGCCGGAGGTGAAATATTTTCTAGCGTGCTACCGCGCATGACCGCATAGATGGAGTGCATAGCAGTGCAGGTTTTTCTTTATCGTAATTAAAATTACCTTTTTTATGAGAAATAAAGAATCATGAAATTTATTCATTGAAATTTTTATACTGTTATTTGTTCAATCAATCAAACTTATTAATATAATTATGGGGGATCATGACTCATGATAAAGAATTTTGTTGTTATTTTTAATAAGACTAATATTTTATTGACAAAAAGTAATTCAAACCATTAATTAATTATACATAATCAAGTAATATTCAAGTAGAGACTGACAGCGTCAAGTGGAAAATCAAGAGAATTTTTGAGCTGCCGAGTCTCCAAAATTAAACAACTCCCTTAGCCTGAATGCTGTATTTGCACCGCATCAGTCGGCAATTTCGTAATCTTGGTTTTGGCTCGTTGGAGGTGGAGCACCGTTGACCACCAAATGCTTGTGAACCATTTCTTCTCGGTTGATGAGATGTGTTGTCTTGTTGACGAGAGTCATGAGGTCGTTAATTCGAGAGGACCAAGAGTTAAGTATGTCTGTTGGGTCTTGAGTGCCTGAGAAACTGACAACTCCAGCTGGACGGTCCGTCTTGGCCTTCACTGTTCCATTTTCAACCAAACTGGAAAGAACTTGTTCCGTTTCCTACAAATGTTGAAGCCATAATTAGCAAACTTAATTTAAAATAATTAAAAATAAAAAATATTTACCTCAGTAGTGAGGTCCATAAGCTCAGCCATTCTGTTGAGATTGATCCTTGTGTAGTATTTGGCCATGATTCTGATATTCTACAAAGGTAAAAAATTATTTTTCAAAAAAATTTTTACAAAAAAAACTTACGTGCTCCACGACTCTACTCCTGAGGTCCTTCCAACGGCTCTGGCCCTTCGGGGTGGTTGGATCAAAAATCTCAGGAGGAGCAATAGTCTTATCACGGCTTGTCAGGCCTCTTTCGTACTCGCTGCAAAGTCCCTTCCAATTGATCAGTTCAGGGGTGTTAAAGAGTTTCAGTAGACCCCTGGAAAATAAATTTTGTCATCACATGTGAAGAAATAAATTTTCAGATACGCATACTTGTAATGTGGAACATGATCCAGGAGAGAGTCTTCCAGTACTCTATGGGTCAAGTCGGCCTGCTCATTGTCGTAAGGGGCCAGTAGCAAGTACAAGACAATACTCTGGAGGGTCAAGTCTCTCTCGACAGGGTCATCTCGGATGACGGGAGTGGTGAGTATGTTGCGGTAGTGGCGACAAGTGGCCAGAAAACTACCCTCATGCCCATCTAATTCAATCATCAGCCTGTAAAATAACGACCAATTATTTAATTTGGAAATTGGTGAATTTAGATTGGAATAATAAAATACTCAAAAAATCTTTGCGCCATTATAAATGTAAGCTTTTTTCAATGAAATTGTAAAATTACTTGTAGTATTTCAATTTCAGTTCCTGGTTTGCTTCATCATCGAAGAATTTGGGGCTGATCTTCTTTGAGATGATTTGTGTCCTGATAAAGTCTTTCTTGGCAAGGCACAACCTCATTTGCTCCAAAATCAACTCAACCTTCAAATACAACTTAAGATATTTCCAAAAACAAATTTTTTAAATTACCTTCTCCTTTTTCACCATAGAGCCGTAAGTCTCGACTTGCAATTCTTGGATGATATCGGCAGCCTTTGAAACTTCTCCTTCATCTTCCCTGATTTTAGCCAGCTTGTGAGTGAGCCTTGCCCGCTCGACTTCTACGTAAATCTAAAGAATAGCAATTAAGACTTTTCATTCTTATTTTTAGGTAATTCTTTACCTTTCCCTCTGTGACTGTGCGCAAAGTGTCAATAAGTTTGATCATTGTTGGCTTGTCTGGAGTCTTGTCGACGTACTCAACACATTTCTGCACCATTTTAGCCACAGATTGTTTGAGCTGGCTTCGTCGACGGGAGAGAACGACGACATGCTCATTCAGCAAATCCCACTTTCCAGCATCATAACAAAGCTGGACGATTGCCACCAAGACTCTGCTCGTTGAAACCATGTCCGAACCCTAGTAGTTTTAATATATTAATTATTATCAATTGAACATAGAATTTAAAAAAAATATTACAGTTCTGGTTTGCTTCTCCAAACTAAGCAGGCCTTCAATTGCTTCATTCAGCTGGCCTGACTTTGCCATTTTTTCAAACTCAGGAATTTTTTCATCGCAAGTCGAGGTGTAGTCCACCTCCATTTTCACCAGCCGGCCAGTCTCTGATAGAATGTCTGCCATGGTTTTTTTCTGGTTTACCTGTGGAAAAAGTAAATTCTGATTTCAAATAATCGCTAGAAACTAAAGTGGTGAAATTTCGATGTGAATGTACTTTAATGAACTTTTGCCGGCTTAGAGCGAACAATTTATATTTTGTTATTTCGACTCAATAAGCCATTTTCCTCTGTGAATTTTTGATATTTCAGTAGTGGAATTATTTCTTACCACAAATTACTGGAAAACGTCGCTTCTCAGTTGAAAAAGAGCGATAAATTTGCTATTTAATCGGAAATTAACGTTTTGTTGTTGAATACTGCTTGGTCATATGCGTTCACCAAGGAGTGCGGACGGAGCGGAGAGCCACTGGTGGCCATTGTAGTTTCGCCAAAGAGGTTTTCTCAGCTTGGCAACGTTGTTTTCCTTGGCCGTGCACTGCATGCATGTTGTGTGGTGTGGATCTTTTACGTGACTCTTTCTGGCATCGGCTGAACTATTTGCAGAAAATGGTAAATATCTAAGTAATCGACGAAGATAATTAATTAAGATCACACCCTAAACTTACAAAAAGAGTTCCTTAATGTATTAGTATTAGAAATTCCGGCCGATTAATCACTTTTTGCTAAATATTTGTATGTAAACAAACGTCGATGACACTGCCGGGCATGCCTTTCATATTCGACCACAACAAGAAAGTTTTTGACTGATTTGCTATTTTTTCAGTCACTGGTCATACCAGAGAAATTCCAACACATTTTGCGTGTTGTCGGTACCAACATTGATGGCAAGCGCAAGGTTCAATTCGCCTTGACCGCCATCAAGGGTGTCGGCCGTCGTTATGCCAACATTGTCCTCAAGAAGGCAGACATTGACCTGAACAAAAGAGCCGGAGAATGCTCTGAGGAAGAGGTCAGTAATCCCCAAAATATTTACTAAAAGTATAATGCTAATCTCATTAATTCATGAAAAGGTTGAAAAGATTATCACTATCATGAGCAACCCTCGCCAATACAAGATTCCCGATTGGTTCTTGAACAGACAAAAAGATATTCAGGATGGAAAATATTCACAGGTATGTTTTATTTAAATGATAATTTTTTTATTAAATATCCACAATATTTTAAAAATCCATCTTCTTACTGGAGCAGTACAATTAGTACTGAACTTATATGCTGGATGGTATATTAATACAGCATTGTATCCTCCTAGCCGGTGCACTAATCACCTGCTGGGCCGGAAATGGTGCTTACATTATTCAAAACGTGTTTACCTTGTTTAGTTAATTTTTGGCCGGTTAATAATTTTCCCCCGATTTTTCAGCTTATTTCCAGCAGTTTGGACAGTAAAATGCGTGATGATCTTGAGAGGCTCAAGAAGATCCGTGCCCACAGAGGCATGCGTCATTATTGGGGGTAAGAAACTTTTTTTTTAATACCTTACAAACAAATTTATAAATTGTCTTTTACTAGCCTGCGTGTGAGAGGTCAGCATACCAAGACAACTGGTCGCAGAGGAAGAACTGTTGGTGTGTCTAAGAAGAAGTAAAGTAATTGTTTCCATGAAAATAAAAATCCTTTTAAGGAGAAAGGCTTGATATATCATTAAAGTTTTAAACCAGTTTTTATCTATAAAATGAAAGATAAAATAGCGTAAAATAGTTTGGTTCTTGATTAAACTTGGCTCTTGTTACGTTTTACGTGGGATTATGACCTCTACATTTTTGAGATTGGATAATTCTGATATATGATTGATTTATTTTTTCCTTCAATATTTATTACAAGTTGAGAAATTATTTATTAAGAGAAATACGAAACTTGTGCAAGATGGTGGGGAAACAAATATAAGTAAATTATTTTATAATATTTTACAAAGCGTCACCATAATGATGAAATTCAGAATTAATGGAGATCTTAATTATTATCATTTTACCATTGATTTATTAGTATCCTAGTACATAAATCAAGTTAATAATAAATCATCTAGCCCATCAAAAATTGTGAAGAACTAGACCTTTCACGTGCTCATTTTTTTATATTTATGCCGCCCAAGTGTGAACCTCCTTGGAAGTTGGAAGAAAAACGTGGTGAAGCGCGCGGATTTACCATGATCGAGAAAATACAGGTTGTGACATGTTCAAAATTTTGTGGTCCGTCGAGCACTTGCCGTGCCGCGACATATTGACGCATGTCGCATTCCATAGTTCCAACACGCAGGACCTTTTAGGCTTTTAGTGTCTGTCTGGTGCTGAAGTTCTCCGAATTTTCCAACCTAAGACCAAGTAGAGAAGAGGTAAGTTTGTGAGGAAATTTATTTCCTCGATCCTTTTCATCGTTTTAACAAGATTAATTAATTTTTGAGGTTTTGCGTTATCTTCAAAGGTTAGAATGCGGCCATGTGCTTATGAGGGCCACAGACAAGACGAAATAAATAATGCTGCAATTTTTATAAGAATCACAAAAATCGTTGCAATTAAGTTTTATTAATATGGAATGCTTTTGTAGCGTTTTGTAGTAGTAAAAATTTTAGTTTTTAGCAGCTAAGTATGTATACAATTATCCTGATGCAATGATTGCAGTACGTAAGACGTGGTATAATATATGTGTTTTTGTGGGAGAAATTTCTTTATATTTTCTTTTATTTTTTTGTTGCTGTTAGTTATTGTAATATAGAAGGTTGGGTTATCCAAAGAAACATTTGTTTTTATATATGCATGAAAAAAAATTCATCTAATATGTAATATTCTTTTTATTAGAGGCAATTATGATGATGGACGAATCACCTGTCAAGATTAAAGCGCCAAGAAGGAAAATTAAAGATGTGGAGCTTGAGCAATACTTGAGATTGGATGAATACACAGAATTGTCCAAAAATGTTGAGGACCTTGCCATGGACACTCTGATGAGGCAGGCACCAAAAATGCCTTTGGTTGCCTCAATTTCCCTTTTGGACATTCAAGAGACAGTTGGCTTAATTAAAATTCTGGTTAGTATGAGTACACATAGTTCTGTTAATTTGTAAAAAGCTGATGAAATAATTTATTATAATATATACTATGTTGCAATAAAAGCACATCATTAAGAAATTAACGCATTTAACACAAATAATTTTCAGGAACAAAAGCTTGTTGGAAAGTCTCCTAAGCACATCTCTATGCTCTATTTGTTGACTGAATCGGTTGTGCTCAGCTATGCCAACCCTCCAATGATTTGTGGACTGTTTGGGAATGGATTTGTCAACGCTAAAGGGTACCTAAATTTCAGGAGAACTGCTTTTGGACTCTCAAGGCTGTGGAGAATTTTGTTCAGCAGTTGCTACAAAGATTTTGAAAAAATCAAAAGTAAGTTTTTCTTCGACCATGCACAAACTTAATGTATTAAATTTCCTCTCTGGGTTCTCATTTCCAGCAGTTGATACGGTTGTTGTAAAACGTTATATCCGATTCTTGCGCAGCATCAGTAAACTGTTCAGAGATTTGGACAACAGGTGCGGAAGCATTGTGAAAGCTATTGACTTGGGCAGTCTGGCAGATTTGGCTGATCACTTCCTGACCTTGATTATAGAAAAGGTGCAAAATAATAAGGCTAAACCCTCAAGCCAAATTAGTGCAGAGAATGAAAAAGTCAAGGTTGCGCAAATGAAGTGTATTTTGGAATTTTATTACCTAGAAGTGTAATTTTAATTTTTAGGCTTCTTACAATGTTCCTAAAATTGCTCCCATCTTTGCAAAAACTCACCAATCTCAAAAATTGGCTCTGGAAAAGTCTGCTTCTCCTCGTAAGCAGCCGTCGGATATTTCGCAAAGGCTGAATGCAACGAATAACAGCAAGCTGACCAGATCACCTGAAAAAATGCGTGAAGCCAAGGCTGTTTTGGAGAAGGTCGAAAGACTCAGTTACCATAAGCCTTTGAAAAGACCTTACCCTTCGCCTAAGAAAGGTAGATTTTAATATAAAATATAAATATCTAATTATAATAAATATTAATATTTCTCAGGTAACCTTGCTGCACTTTCTCCCGAAAAGAAAATTCGTTTCGAATTTGAAAAGGAGAATGAAAAAAGTATTAATAAACATAGTGTGTATTAAACAAATTGTACATAGATTAAATTTTTACTCAGGGACTAGAACTCCATCCTTTTCAAACTCTGATGCGTCAACTTCGGACTCTGATTCAGATCATGATCAACCACAAAGATTTGGCACTGCCAAGGACGCAAGCTCATCTTCTAGCTTTGCTTCGTCGTCCTTGATGTCTCAATCGTCAGCCTCTTCAGACTATGACAATGAATTCTACGGCAAGTACACATTCCTCAAGTTCTGATTATTAACACCATTTTGACTAAAAAATGTTCCGAAATTACTCACTAATATAGAGTTTTGCATTTTTCAATGACATAAAATAAAGATTCAAAATTCAAATTGAAAATCCTTTGAATTCGATTATATTTTATTTATATTCCAACTAATCACTTCAAATCATTATTAACTTCAGCTTTGAACAACTTATCATTGGGGAATTGCAAACTTTCAAAAGTCTGTGTTATCATTCCTGTGGCAACTGTAACATTGTTCTCCCGAATCGTGAAAGGCTGACCGATGGTCATTGCCATTTTCTTGATTAATGTTAAATAAACCTGGCCATGCTGACCAGGCATGAACATATTCTGTCCGGCTTCCAAATCAATACGAGCGGCACAATTCCAAGTAAGGCTGAAAAGCTGTTGGATGTACTTATTAAGAATGGGTTTCCTACGTCCACCCTCGCCCTTTGTCAGGAAATAGATGTTTGCCTTGTAGTGGTTACTGATTTTCTTTGAATTTCTAGCACACATAATCATTCCTTTCTCCAGATCAGCCACTTTCAGGTTTTTCACTAGCACTCCAACATTGTCTCCTGCTTTGGATTGGCTGACATCTTTCTTAAACACCTGAAGACCGTTAACCACTGTCTTGTGTTCTGCGTTGAAGCCGAGGACCACTGCATCGTCTCCTTTGTTGATGGTTCCTGTTTTAATTGTTCCGGTGATTACAGTCCCTCGTCCTGGAACGCTGAAAACATTGTCGATGGGCATCTCGAACGGAGACTTGTAATCCCTGGTCGGAGTTGGTATATAGGAGTCCAAAGCGTCCATCAGCCTCCTGATAGATGGCACACCATATTCCGTCTCTTCACCCTTTAAAGCTTGAAGTGCAGAGCCAAAAATAATAGGCGCATTTACGCCATCAAAGCCAAAATCGCAGAGCAGTTCTCGGATTTCCAGTTCGACTAATTCGAGAGTGTCCTTGTCCACTAGGTCTGCTTTGTTAATGAAGACAACAATGTGTTTGATTCCAATCTGTCTGGCAAGAAGCAGGTGCTCCATGGTTTGGGGCATTTGACCATCAGTGGCTGCCACTAATAGGATGGCGCCGTCCATCTGTGAAGCACCAGATATCATGTTTTTCACATAGTCTGCATGTCCCGGACAGTCTGTATGGGCGTAGTGTCTGGCTTTGGTCTGGTAGTATACGTGAGCCACGTTGATGGTGATGCCACGACCCTTTTCCTCAGGGGCGCTGTCAATTTCGTCAAAGGTTGTGTACCTTGACTTACCCTCCTTGGCCAAGATTTTTGTTATGGCTGACGTAAGTGTTGTTTTGCCATGATCGACATGTCCAATTGTTCCAACATTGCAGTGAAGAACTTCGCTTTTTTCTGGATCTTCGACTGCTTTAGTAGAAAGAAATCTCATCAAAGGTCTACTCGTCAAAACATTCGGTGATCTTCGGCAGGTGCATGATGAAACAAGAGTTGGACTCGCCGAGAACATTTGTCTTGAGAGCTTTGTTATATTTCTTAGAAGCGCCATGTTCTAAAATTTTAAACGAAAATAATTAATTAATTTAATTTTAAGTCATTTTTTTATCTTGCCTACTTCGAGAGAAAAATCACTCGTGATTGTATTTTGGCACCTGCGAATGCGAACGCTTGCGAATTTTAAATCTGAGCAGCTGTGTTTTTGTTTTTCTTTGGATTTTAAATTTGCGCGCTCGCTCTGGTGGAGAAATTGTCGAAGCTCTGGACCTTCCTGGTGGTTTCGCTGGAGGAAAAACAAGCAGACGACAGCTGGCACTTTATTGCAAACGTTCTATTTATTTACGGCTTCTAAAGGTTAGCTCTAACCTTGCATTATTTCCTGATTAATCAACGAGCGAATCAAGTTCATTAACACTGAAATTGCACGCTTCGGGGGATGGAGCTGCGCCAAATTTACTGAGGCTGCTGATGTCATTACGGTAAGCTTTTAAATTCCGTAGCAGTTTGAAATATTTTGGGTTAAATATTTTGCATTCTCAACCGTGTCTGCCGTTCATTCTAGATTAATCCACACATGAGTCGTGAGAGCCCAGTAATGATGTCAACCACTAATATCAAAGACCTGTTCGACGAGGCCCGCTGCCCGGATGGCTGGAAATTTGTTCCTCTTTTGGTCTATTTTCCATTTGGAGTGATGTTGGCCACAATTCGCCTGTTCATCAGCCTGCAAATGCTTCTAGCAGCCTCAGCCTTCCAAAACGTGGCCATTGTGAAGAAGTTTATCCTGAAGATGATGTGCAACATTCTCGGGGTCATCATTAGGGAAGACTTCACGGAGCTGCGCTTCAAAACACAGGCCGCCCCCATTTTGGTAACCAACCAGGCTACCCCTGTAGACCCTCTGGTGTTTCACGTAGCCACTGGGTGCACTACGGTGCCAAACCCTGAGGCCCCGGCCGCCCTGAATTGGCTTATTGGGGCGCACAACATCAATATCAGCCAGGGCTTCCAACAACTCACCAGGATTCTGCAGGAGTGTCCATCCAAGCAGACGTCCATCTTGCTGCAACCTGAAGGTGCCACCACCAATGGAAAGGTTGGATTGCTCAAGTTCCAAGAGGGCTACCTGGAAGGAGTGAAAAAGGTGCAGCCTGTTGCTATTCAAATATGGAGGCCTCCAACAGCGTCCGTTTCCCCTTGCGTTATTGGCTCGCCCTGGTGGATGGAAATGCTGTGGATTCTGTTTGTTCCTTGCACAGTCTTTTGCTTGAGGTATTTTATTTTTATTTTAATAATAAATTGATAAATTTTCTTACTTAAAAAATTTTAAAAACTTTAATTTTTATTACATTTTTAGATATCTGCCTGCCATCGTTAAATCAGAAAAAGAGAGCACTGAAGAATTCACCAAAAGGGTGCAGGGCGTCATTGCCACCAGACTGGGAGTTCAGGCCACCAACTTCACTCTTGGTGACAAAAAAGAGCTTGAAAAGCGACTGGTCATTACTCCTGTCCGGCAACAGGAACATAGAGTTGCTCAGCGGAACGCTGAACTGCAGAGAATGGTTGCACAGGTAAATTATTTAATTTGAAATGAATTTTGTGTTTTTTATTGTATAAAGTTTTTAGGTACGTGAAGTGTTGCCCTACGTGCCAGCTGATGTTGTCCGCAAGGATCTCTTCCGCACCAAGAGCGTTGACATCACAATTTCCAACATCCTCGAGGGTCACATTTCCTTTGTGCCTGTCTTGCCTTCTACGCCCGTAAAGTCTCCAACGGCCGTGGCTCAGAAACCAGCTGACCAGCCCAGCAGCAGTTCTACTTCTTCAGTTGCACCTCCTACCACTGCTTGTGGAGGGGAAAGCAACACACTGAATACAGCAGCATCCACTTTTCCAAAGTCGGCTGAAGAGAGGTCCATGTCTTTCAAAGAGCGCAAAACGAGACTGGTCGAGAATGCCAGGCGAAGGTACATCGAGAAGCATGGACTCAAAGAATTTGGATTTTCTGCATCATGAGCTGTTTAATTGCTAAATGAAAAGTGATTTGTGGCTGGCCAGAGATTGCCGACAAATTTGTGAAATAATTGTCAGTAAATCACATATGGAATTTTAGCTGAATCAAATTTATAAATATTCTGATTATGTTGTTTAAGAATTTCAAAATTGAAATCACTAATATATAGTGTACTTACCACATAATTTAAGTACCACGTTTAACAGTTTATTTCCCTTTGGTTTATGCATACTTCTAAAACGTATTGCGTCCACCATCTTTTTGGTTTTCTCTCCGAATTCACCCTTCTAAAAGCGCTTAAAGCCAGCACGAGGCAATCAATGTGAAATCACTTGCAATGAAACGTTTACAAAAATTATACTGAGGTGAAGTAAAAATAAATGTATATTCATTATGGACAAAAATATGAATACTAGGATGTATAAAAATTAATATTGCCTCTTAAAAAGGAAATAAATCAAAATAATAAAGCTTACTTGGCATTGTTATCCTTTATATTTTCCCTCTTAGTATTCAGTTTGTATTATTAATGCGAAATTTCTTGTTTTGGGGTATATTGGACAAAACTTTTTTAGGGTTTATAGTCTGTTATAGACATTTATATTTTATTACTTTGATTTGTATCAGGGCACAGAAAATCATGATTTTTTTTATTGAAATATAACCTAGCTAGTTGTTAGTTGGGTTAGTTGCTTAGCGTAAAGATTGGAATGGTTTTGTATTTTAAATCCTCTCGGGAGCTCAATAAAATAATCTGTAATTTTTTTTTCTTTCAATTTGCTGCGAAGTTAATAATTTCTTTATTTACTTATTCTTCATTCTATAGTTGAAATGCACAACATACCTTACATAATAAAATAAATAATAATACATCAAATTAAAATTAAGGACAAAAGCTGAAAATATTTAAAAGAGTTGCTATAATCATGTTTAACTTTTTATTTGTTTAATTTATTTATTATTATTTTTTTTTTTTAAATTTTCTTTTCAGAATTTGATTATCTCTTTAACTGATTATACAAAGCTGCTGCTGCATAATCAAGTCATAATAATAAAAAACTCTTATGTTTATTCTTTTTTAAGAATATAATATATGCATTAGGAGGAAAAGGAAAGTTTAAATTATCAAAATACTTTTTAAAAAATTATAATATGCGTATAAAACTAATGAATTTTATGCACTTCCATGGCTAATGTAAGCGATGTTAAAGAGAAGGCGCCATTTGTCTACGAAATTTAAAAATCGTCAAAATAAATGAAATAAATATTTTGATCTGAACCGCATATTAGAAGAAAAGGGCCAAAAAAAAAATAAGTAGTTGCTACAATTAAATCAGAATTAAATGAAATTTGTTTTGTTTATTAGAAAAACTAATTTTTTTTCGCTGCGTGCACTTGCTTAATATTTCATAAAATATTGTTGAAAGTTAAAAAAAGAAATAAAAAAGCTATATTATATAATAGTATAATTTTTTCCCCTGATGATTTGCACTGGCGCCATAGAAATTTAAATTATAACCACTCCCACTTTTAAGTTTCCCAATTCAACAACTCAACAAAAGATAGCAGCTGGAAATGGTAATATGGCGGGAAGAATGTTGTGAAATGACTCGAAATCTGCTTTCCACCTCTAATTTGGAGTTTCGCGGCTGAATTTTGGAAATTTTAAAACACATCTTGAAATGGCTACTTCCAAGAAGATTTCTGACGAAAGTCTTCAAAAGCTCTGTAAAGCAGGGACAGCGAAACAACCAGGTTTTTGTCTAACGCCCTCTCATCTGCTAATAGTGTTTATAGTGTATGTAATTCTTATTTTTTTTGTGTGCAGGAAATTATGCGAAATGGTACGCTTATGTTTGCCAAGAGTTGGGCAACGCTCCTCAAAATCCAGGCGGTAGTGGAGACTTTGATTATTCCATTGAGCAGCATCTCTTGAAGGAGAATAGACAGGAAGACTTGCTGCGATATGCTGAACTCAAACGAAAACTTTACGAAACAGTAGGGTGTTTTTTTGTTTTGCGCTGCAATTTTAGACAAAATTAATTATGTAGAGCGTGGTGGAGAAAAAGGAAGAGTTGCTGCGATTCTTTACGATGGTGTCTTACTTTCGAGTGACCGGAGTGAACAAAAAAAATCGAATGGAAAAGGTTAAGGCTGAGCCTGAAAACGACTTTAAACAGCCAAACCCTGAAGATTTTGCATTCCTGAGGCATGCTTCTATAGTTGATTGCCCTGTTGATAGAAGCCCAGGATTTAGGCGGAGTTTTTCTCCTCTTCGCCACGTTGGTAACTTTTTTTGGCATCAAAAATTGACTAGTTTAAATTGTACATACACCACTGTTATGTTTTTTAGAACAAAGCCATTCGTATGTCTCTAGACGAGAAAGTTATGCTGAATCTATTTGCTCCAATGTTAGTGCAAGATCTGCTGTCAGACCCCTTGAGGGCCGATGTAAGAAAATAGCGAAAGAAAAAGAAAAATGCATTACAAATTTTTTTGCTTTGTTAATACATAACTGTTTTGCAGATTCTCAGAATGATTTGATAAGAGAAGTGATGTTTGTGTTTAATGGCGTCGGAGGAAGTATTTTTAAGGATGACTGTGGTGATGGAACATTTAGGATATCTCAAAAAGTTATTGTCCTGAAATGAAAATTGCGTGCAATAAAATTTATGTCACACTAGTTGGAGGATCCATTGCGACAGCAAGCTGCTCATCTAGCTGAGATTGGCACCTTGAACTTTAAGATAAGAAAAATGGTCGAATCTGTGCCCCACATAGGAGCACCCTATTGTCTGTCTGCCCTCGTTGGTGCAGTCCGAGATCAACTGCATGAGTTTAGCAGACTAATCACGAACCTGGAATCAGAGGTATGTTTTTTATTAATTAAAAAAATATATATGTCACTATCAAATTGACCTGATTTAGCTGAGACAAGCTTCTAGAGACAACCCAATGAGTCTTTTACAAGTTCGGATAATAACGCATCAACCAAAATGTCACTTGCAGTGGCTATCAACTGTTGCAAATGAGTGCAAGGACAAGAAAGGAGGAGCTCTGCTCTCAAATCTTCACTCCCTGGTACAGCACGGGGATCCAAAAGTTCGAGAGTGGCTTCAACCTCTTCTTTCAGCTGTATGTTTTCTTAATATTGTTTTGATAGCAAAGCTTAATATTGGTGAATAGGCTGCAGCTCCCTTTTATGAAATCCTGTCAGAGTGGCTTGAGCGGGGTACGATCAAAGATCCTCACACAGAGTTTTTCATCTCAGTCGACAACGAAACTATTGTGAACAATTTCTGGCACCGGAAATACTCAATTAGGTAAGGAGTCAAATGATAAGTTATAAATTAAGGGTGTTTAAGTATTGTTTATTAAATCTTTTTAAACTATTGTAGGGAGTCAATGAAGCCAAGTTTTATTTCTCAGTCTCAGGCCAATATGGTTCTGACGACAGGTAAAAGTGTTGCATTTCTCACGCAGTGCTGTGGAAAATCGCCAAAGGATTTCAAGATCCCTGGTTTGCAAGAGGCTATAGAAAACGGCAGCGGTACCAAATTTAACATTCTTATATAATTGATACTATCAATATCTAAAATCTGCAGACAAACTATGGGATGTTGATGGCGCCTTGCAAGTCTGCATTGAAGCAGCTCACAAGTCATTTTCCAAGGAGGCGCTTAATGTGATGCTACATGAAGGAAAGTTGGCTCTTCATTTGCAGGCCATGCGTCGCTACATGCTTCTCGGAAGTGGAGATTTCATAAAACTACTAATGGAGTTTTCTGCGTAAAATTTCACATCATACTCTTGAATCCTTGTAATTGAATATCTTTTAAATTATAGAGATGAGCTCAACAAAAAAGCAGATCAGCTCATGGCACACACACTGACTCCTAAATTGGAATCAGCAATCCGTGCGACCAATGCACAATACGAAGATGAGGATGTCTTGAACCGTTTGGACATTAAACTTTTGTACATGACTAATGAAGAAACTGGCTGGGACATTTTCTCTCTTCAGTATTGCATTGATGGGCCCATTGCCATGGTAAATATTGATGTTTAAATATTCCCATACAAACTATATAGTTTTGAATCTGCAGGTATTTCCTCCAGAAGTGAAATTCAAATACCTAAGTCTCTTCAATGCTCTGTGGAGAGCAAAGAGAATGGAATGGCTGCTGTCCAATATGTGGAGAAGCCAGGCAATATCAGCAAGAGAGTTGAGGAAAATGACTGGTAGATTACATGGATAATTTTTTATCGTGATTTGAAGTTGATCTCATTTTTAGAAATTGGGCCGCTGATTCGAGAATTGTCTGTGCTGATTTCTGAAATGAACCAGTTCATGCGGCAAATGCAGTACTACTTGCTCTTTGAATGTGTTGAGTGTCAATGGAGTTTGCTCCAGAAGGCCATTGCCCAGGCTGCTTCTCTTGACGACATAATTCATGCACACAACAAGTTCCTGGACAACATTATGAAGAGTTGTTTATTGGATGAAGTAAATTGAGAAAAGAAGTTACTTTAAAACAATTGCGTTCAATTTTTTTTCCATAGGAATCTCAACACCTGACTTACATTCTGCGCAGAATTTACAATAACGTCCTGGACGTCAGCAAGTTAGAGGCTTCATTCGACAAGCTGATTAATACAGAATTCCAGAGAAGAAAAGAGCTTGACAAACAGTATGAAATGTTGGAGGAAGCAAGCATGTTTGGTCTGAACAAAGAAGATGAGGCAAGGGAGAAGCAGGCTCAAAAGGAGTTCGAGAATGCAATGACTCGAATCAGAGTCTCATTAATGATGAATGCTGATGGCTATAGGGTATTTATTTTAAATTGATTTTAAACTTCAAAGTTAAATGTTTTACAACAGGAACGGGTGAAGGAATTCCTGCTTGCTTTAGCTTCTCACCCCAATGAAGATCTGCAGTTCCTAAGTCTCCGTCTTGACTTCAACGAGTACTACAAAACGCTGGACAAGCGTCTCAGCACCCCTCACACTCTAAGCTACCGGCGCCGCAGCTCGTTAATGCCTCCATTTGCAGCCATGACTGTCAGTGCTGAATTCTGACCAGTTCTCCAAGTTGCTAATCGCAGGAAGTCTAAATTGCTAGCTATATGCTGTGTTGGGTAATTTTTGACTGACACAATGCCATTCATTTTAATATACACAGAATAGTGTAAATTTTTAGTAAGTCTAAAACTTCTTTATTCTTATTTTTTGATAATTTCAAGATGTGATATCAATCATTTGTTAAATATGTGCACTGCTGAATAGTAAACTTAGCTTTCCATCTCCAAAAATCTTCCTTGAGAACTTCCATTTAATTGCACAAAGGTCGTTTTTAGATTTGTGACCATAACCAATCACTAGCTAAATATTAATATAAAACAATTATTAAAGTGTTTAACTGCGGATACAAGAATAATAAATAAGATTATTAATAAAAAAAGACTATTGTTGTTAATAATTCTATGCCTTGTCAATATGCAACAATGAGGTTATAAATATCTTTCTTGGGCAATGCAAGTTCCATTGTTTGACAGTTACTAAAAGCAGTTTGAAAATCTTGTTCCTCATGCTGAGAGCAAAGCTAGGTAAAATTTAAAAAGGAATTAAAATATTCTGACTAACGTTTTCTCAGCCTTTATCTTTCAGCTTGCAAACCGATATCTTTTTGGGGCACAAGCTGAAGTTCCTGAATCATCATCTGCAGAAATTGCCTCTTCGTCTTTGGTTTCAAGGAGCAATCTTGTGGTATTCTTAACATTCTACTATTAATTCTTCAAGCTTCCTCCTTATTAAAATCTTTTTATAGTCTGGCGGAAATAATGATATCAACCAGCACAATCTAGTTTTGGCTGAAGCGCTCGGGATCATCATGTCGTTGTACCAGGAGACTATAAGGACATTGCAAAATTTGAATGAGCGAAAAGCTCAGATTGAACTGGAGCTTGAGCAGTTTAATGCCGATCCTGAGGAGCAAGATGAGAGTGTGGCAACTCGAAGTCTCATTGGTCCTCAACCCTTAGGCATTGTTTTTTTTTTAATACAATTGTATAATTATTTTTTTAATTTTTGGGTTTATAGTTCGAAGCTCGTTTAATGCAAATTTGGTGGTAGTGGAACACCTTCAAAGCTCCCTTTCACAAATTACTGAGCAGGATGTTTTGAGGGAGCTGCTCTTTGCTTTCCAAGGGATTTGTGGCTTAATTTTGACAAAAAATGTTCTGATGGAGGACTGTCTTGTTTTCCAAATGATCACAGAGGTTCAATTTAGATATATAATTAAAAATTTTCAGTTTATGATAAAAAGTAAAAATTCAGGATGGGAATGTTACTCTGCGCCAGCAAGTGTTGCATCTTGCAGTGTTGGGCACCCTTTACCAAAAACTGCAGGAATTCATTGAGTACAACAGTCTGGACGGATCATCCCTTTTCCTCAGCGCCTTAGCAGCTGCCCTTCGAGAACAGTTGTCCAGTTTCTTGTTACTGCTGTCCTATCTTGAGCGCCAAATCAATGGGCTTTATAGTCGGCCTAGTTTGATCCAACTAAGGGTGGAGACCCTAGGAGCTAAACAACTTCTAACTTGGCTAGTGACTGCTTCAGAGGCTTGCAGATTTCGGCTTGGCTGCAATGTGTTGTCAACCCTATACACTCTGTTGTGCAGTGGAAATCCACAGGCTCACTGCAGCCTTGCTCCTATCTTTTTGAGAGTTCGTTCAACTGACCATGTTCACCCTATATTATTTTCAAACTTTTATATTGTCAAAGGTGTCGGAAGTGTTCTACAAACTAATGAAAGAGTGGTTTACTACGACCAAAGTGACGGACCCATATGAAGAGTTTTTCATTGGGGTTGACATTTCTAAGCCATTCCTCAACCCTGAATACTGCGTTGTTCGGTAAATTTAACATAAAAAGTATCATTATTACTTTTTTTCTATGACTTTGGCTATGCAGCGAACTGATGGTACCCCAATTCTTAACAACTGCTCAGGTTGAACGGATTGCAAAAATTGGAAAGAATTATGCTGTGCTGAAGGGAATACTAGTGCACAAAAGACCCTTAGCAGATATGCACATCGGACTTGATGAAGTGATCTCTGTCATTACAAAAGGTATTATTTATTTATGAAAGAAAAATAGCTGTGCCATTAATTACAGTTCATTATTGTTAAAGATGCCCATATTGGGTTGAATGCTTGGGGTGTTGATGGTGAAATGCACATTTTTCTGCTTGAGCTTGAAAAAGAAGTATCAAAGGAGCTTGTTTTTGCTTTGCTAACCAAAGGCAAACTTTCTCTGCACCTTGAAATCCTGACTGGTTTCTTCCTGCTGAGGCAAAATGGATTTGCAGCACATCTTACTGACAATATTTTGTAAGATTGTTTCTAAGATAAATTTAAGAAATAATGAAAATATTTTAGTGATGTGCTGAGTGTTTCCGCTCCACTGGTGAGCAAGCAAAATCTCACAGAAAAATTCCGCATGGCCATCAACAACACTCATAGCTTTGAGCAAGAAGATATTAAACTGGAGGAGAAACTAAACATACACTTTGATCCTCAACCAGAGCATGATTTGGCCTGGGACTCGTTTGAAATCTCATACGAAGTAGAAAATGATAATCCAGTAACTTTGGTGTGGTCATAAATATTTTAATTAAATAAAGAAATTAATTTTAAGTGTGGGGTTTTCAACAGGTTATTACTAAAGAGGTGTTGGGCAGATACTACAGCTCATTTAAGGAAATCCTCCAGCTGCGAAGGATGGAATGGATGCTGTGTGATATCCTCAAGAGCATCAAGACCACCTACAGAAAGCTGCACCAACTGACAGGCAACCAATAAGAACTTTTAATTAAATAAATATGTGGTAATATTAAAATAAAATAAAAACTATTAGGAAGGGAAAGGGTCTTGCTGAACCACATGCACCTCTCTGCTAAGGAAATCCACGTACTGGTCCAACAAGTGCTCAACAACATTCTGCAGGTTCGATTAGAGGCGAATTGGCACCAGTTTTTAGAGCAAATAAAAACAAGTTGCTCCCTGGAGGCCATAAAGGGTTTGCACGAGAAGTACCTCAATGATATTCAAATCTACTTATTACCGGAGCAGGTAAACATGATTGAATGTATTATAAGACTTAAAAATAATAGAGGAATTGTTTATAGATGCATGAGCTACTAAATCTGACAATAGAGTTGAACGACCTGTTCCAGTCCTTCATGATGGCCTTTAAATTCCCTGGTGCCTGGGTTAATAGTGGGGAAGTAGGGGATGAGTGGAATGGTGCATCATGCTCTGAAAGCAGCACAACCACGCCAAGCAAAACCGTTTTCGCACCTACAAGTGTCCCTCGCAGACTTGAGAATCTGCGGTCAGACTTCCATGTGAGATAAATATATTTTTTAATTATCTTTTAAAGGCAGTTCACATTTGTTGAATTCTACAGGAATTAGTTTTGAACTTTCTGAAAGTGGTCCAGCGACAGCCAGAGGAGGACATGCAAAACCTATATGCGCTGGTCAACCTGAACAACTACTACTGTGTTTAATTATATTACCAGAAATAGTAATTAGATTTGTGTTTTAAGTAACAAATTCTTTTATTATTATTTTTTAACAAATTTTAACCCAAATGAACACACGAATAGCAATTACTATTATTTGGGCTATTTATGCTCAAAATTTAACGCATGTTCTTTCAGTGTGTGCTATAAATATTGATAAATATTTAGATGTGTGTGCTTGTGTGAACATTCAATAACAATTTTGTTTGTCTTATTCAGAAATATGCTGGAAGGCTATTGAAACAATATGAATAACTACGCTATAGGTGCAAATAAAAGTTAATTTGTGGGGACTGTTGCTTGAGAAAACTGAATAAAGTTGCATTTTTATAAGTGGTAATGTCTAGCAGGAAATGGACGCAAAATAAATTAATTCAAGTTTGCTTCTGATAGTGACAGGTATGAGAAAATTATCTACACACGCTCGAGATTAGAAACTACTAATATATCAACAAATTCAATGTCATGTTATCTTATAGAAGTAGGTGAATTTTAAGGCCCACTTACAAAATTGAAAAAAGCAACCGGTGCGTTGGTTGATGAGCCGAGCGTCTCGAGAATACTTCTAGACCCAATATGGCCTTTGTTCAAATTGAATAAAATAAACGCAAATAAGATAAACTGGGACAAGTGTCACGCTCATAATTTAAAGGGAAACAAACGCAACGAAGGAACAGAGTTGTAACAACATGCAACAACAAAAAGAGCTTTTTCAGACAATTTAAATAATAATGTATCAGCTCTTATCATTTTTCACATCATTAGTGGATAAAGATACATACTTTAGATGGGGATCTCAAAGTTTACATCAAGCTTTGCGTCTCGCGCCATTCGGACAATGTTCGACAACTTGACAACAAGTCTTGCAGCCTCATCCAAGTTGTCACAGGCAAGGATCTTGAATCCCGAGGAGGCAATCAATACTTTGGCGTCATCAACGTTTGTGCCCTGTGAATAATAAATAACATTGATTAAATGTTTAATTGATTCATAGATAACTGTGTTACAAAGCTGTCTAAATATACTTTAGTTTTCCGATAAATCATTTTGTGGAAACAAACCTGCAGTCTGCAGACAATTGGAATCTTCAGCTCAAGTTCTTTTGCTGCAGCTACGATGCCCTTGGCAATAATGTCACACCTCATAATACCACCAAAAATATTCACCAGGATGGCGTGCACCTGAATATTAAAAAATTTTTACTTTGACTTCACAAAAATAATGCTATTTTAACCTTAGGGTCGGCAGTGATAATTTGGAAGGCTTCTTTAACCTGCTGTGCTGTGGCTCCACCACCAACATCCAAGAAATTGGCTGGCTCTCCGCCGTGCAACTTAATAATATCCATAGTGGCCATGGCAAGACCAGCTCCATTAACTAGGCAACCAATATCACCTGAAATAAAATTTTGATTTGTTTGATTATTCACAAAAAAATATGTAATATGATTTTTCTACGAATTTTAAAATACAGTTTTGTTCTAATCTATTTACCATCAAGAGCGATGTAATTAAGGTTTGAGCGAGCGGCTTCAACTTCCTTCTCGTCTTCTTGGCTCCAATCCCGGAGTGCAAAGATTTCCTTTTGTCTAAACTCAGCGTTGTCGTCAAACCTCATTTTTGCATCAAGGGAAAAGACTGAAATCCATATTTGTTAGGACAATCCTAAAACATCATTTTTCATCTAACATTTTCCATTTGCATCTTCTGCGTATGGGTTGATCTCGATAAGGGAAGCGTCTTTTTTCATAAACAAGTCATACATTCTAAGCAGAATGTTAGCAGTCTCCTCTTTCTGCTCTGCAAGCCCGACCTGGGCGGCAACACCAGCAGCCTGCTCCTTGGTCATGCCCTTGACAATGTCAATGGGCTCTTTGATGATGGCGTCTGGGTTTTCTGCTGCCACTTCTTCAATGTTTACTCCTCCCTGTGCTGAAGCAATCAAAACTGGACCCTGAAAATTAACCAAAATAATAAATCATAGACATCAGTAATCCAATGTGATATTCTTACAGCGAAAGCTCGCTCCATCATAATGGCAAAGTAGTACTCTTTCCTAGGGAACTTTCGCTCAGCAACCATGACGGCATTGCAAATCCTGCCCTTCTCGCCTGTCTGCTTTGTTACCAAAAGCTGGCCAATCATCTTTCCTGCAATTTCCTCCGCCTCCTCAGGCCTGGAGTGTCGGAAAGAGTGATTAAAATATATTATGTGTTAAGACTATTTTGTGCGGCTCCAAAATAAACTTACGAGTAAACAAGTCGGACGCCTCCTTTCAGGCCATTCTTAAAACTGCCCTTTCCACGTCCTCCTGCTAATACTTGGGCTTTGAGCACCAAATCCTTGGCACTGATCTTGCGAGCTATTTCTCCTGCCTCTTTTTGTGTGTGGGCCAGCCCAAACTCCGGTACGGGGATGCCCGCCTCCTGCAGAAGGCTGTATGAGACATGCTCATGCACGTTCAGGTTTCTCTGTTGTTGAGCGCTGTGGAGTGCTGGGCTTGCGGCTCCAAGGAGCTGAAAAATGAAAATTATTAATAATGAATAAATGAATCTTACAAAACAACAGAGGTTTAAATTGACTGATTGCTTGATCAAGAATATATATAGCAGGTATTAGCTCTGTTAATCATGCAAATTAGCTCCAATTTAAGAAGCCAGACAGTATGACCTTTGTAACAGAGCAAATTTACAGGATCGTTTGTTATTTGAATGGACTTGTTTCGTGAATGTTGAAAAGAATCACGCGATAAAAATTAAAAAAACAAATCACTAATGCATAACACTAGACTCTATTGGGACTTTGTCCCTTGTGTGAAGAAGGACAAAGGTCTATTAAATCAGGAAAGCTGCTATTTTTGATTGTGATGACCTCTATGTGTACTGACTGTTGGCGGGCGGTTCACTTTTTCGGTGGGCGATTTTACTCGAGATTTGCACTGGTTATAACCAAAATTTGGGACTCCGGCGCAGAAAAATATCTTATTTTCAAATTTGCAATCGAAATTGTGATTGTATTTACCTTTGAGCCGCCTCTCCGCGACAAAGTTTCAACTACCGAGAGACTTCTGTGCAAGATGCTCGCCATTTTTGTTCTCAGCAGCTGGGCGCTGGGCGACGGTGCTGTCACCACAGCACCCGAAAATATGAGAGCGAGGCGGCAATTCGGAGGTCCATCAAATTGTCGTGATAGCATTTTAATTTGATGCTATTTATCTGCTATTTATGTATATAAAAATTAATAACTATGTATTTTAAATTGATTCTGATTAAACTCTTCATATTCAATTTGGGGTGCACATCATTCTTTATTCAAATCAAATAGCATCTTTCAAATTAAGTTAAACAATTCCTAAAGTTCTTGACATAAAATTTTGTAATGTTATTTACAAAATCAAATATTGTTCTTTCACAGTATTGTGAAATGGCCTCCGATACATTAACACACAAGACCAGTACAAAACTCCAAACTCTTGTAAGCTTCTAATTTGTAGTCATACAATTGAAAGACTTTGCAGCCGTTAACTAGAGCTTTACTTGTTAGGCGTTAAAATAAAATTGAGGTACGTCGAAAGATGAAAGTGTATAGCATTGCATTCTAGCAGAGACCGTAGATTGATTGCGTGCCCTGATTGTGACATACAAAAACGCCAGGTACATCTTGATGGGCAAGGTCCAAATTGTTTTTGAAAATAATTCGAGCACCTCATTGTCTCTATCCACAAAAAAACCTTTGCTCTGGCTTCATGTAACAGCTGCAAAAATTTAGATCTCCTATTATATTATACATTAATAATAATATAAGTGAATAGTCATCATTCACACCTCGGCAATCATAAGATCGAATGTTTTTTCACCTCGCAAAACTGAATCGCAATAATTCTCATGATCAGTAGGCTTGGTGGCTGAACCTCTCGTGCAACGTCAGTTGCTTTTGACCTCGGAATCCACCGCGCTGCCCTCGTTGTCCTCGACGATAAGCGGCCGCCCTTCGGACAGCCTGTACAGCAAAGCCTCGAGCTGGCATTGGACGGGGCTGTAGCTGCTGTTGAGGCATCTGCTGCTGCTGCAGCTGTTGTTGCATCCGAGTGTTTGGCATGTTGACCTGCATCTGCTGGTTCTGAGCGCGTTGTAGGTTGCGTTGTCGGTTAACAGAGGCACGGACAATCTTCTGCTTAATGGTTTGCCTAGCGTCGACTTGGCCCTGGACGACACCACCTCCTCGACGCAGTCCGGTTACGCGCTGGGTCTTTCCTTGCAGACGCAATCCTCGGGTTTTGAAACCAGCTTGACGCTCAGCTACAACAGTTTGCTGTGGAAAAAAGCAGAAGGAACATACAAATAATTAGAACAAGTTTTAAATTTTTTAAGGATTCATCTTGTAAGAAAAACACCTGGTTGAAATGAGATTTTTTGATAACGTCAACGAAAAAGATAATGAAGATATTATAATTTTGGTTTAAATTCATGCCACTGAAATCGGCAATAAATTAACAAAAGCAATCAGGGCCGACCAAGGTCCGCGCATCAGCAACAATGAAAAATGATTTGATTGTTGTTTGAGCTCTCTGATTGGGTACAAGTAAAGTTGTACCCAATCAGAGAGCTCGACAACAATCGAACTTTTCTGACGAGCGGACCTTGGGGCCGACAATGATATTGCAAAATAATTGCTTTGCTCACTGAGCAAAATTGTGCTGATTTGTTATTTCACAATTTGGTAACAGTTAAAAATACCTTGGTGAGCTGATCCAATTGGCGTTTCCGCTGCATCAGCACTTGGGCGGCAAGTCGGACGCGGTTCCGTGCAGTCTGGGTGCTGCTCTTCAGTTCTTGGGCAATCTGTGCCTTGTAAACCTGGTTGACCCGTGGAGTCCTGAATCTCTGCTGCTGGGGCGCTTGCAGCTGCTGGACTGGTTGCTGCTGATACTGCTGCTGCATCTGCTGGGGGTATACTTCCTGCTGGATGTACTGCTGTTGTTGTGGCTGTTGCTAAAAATTATGAAGATCCAATTGAAAGAAGATAAAAAAAAATAATAATAAAAAAAGTTAACCAAAAAAGTAGGAAACAGATATTTACCTGAACACGCTGGCCCCTCATTTGGCCGCCACGGCCTCGACCACGCATTGCTCCTCGAGGTCCTCCACGCCTTCCACGGACAGGAACAGCCATCGCTGGCATCGGATGAGGCTGGGGAGCGTCAGTAGTCCATGCCCTCAAACGACCACCCATATTACCCATATTCATTGGGTTGTTTTGGGTGGTCAAGCCCAAGCGTGGATTAAATTGCGGTGCTCCTCGAGGTGCGCCACGTCCTCTCTGGAAAAACTAGGCTTATGTTAGAAAATATCACTGACAAAAACTAGCTGAAAATTAGTTTGAAATGAACTAAAAATTGGTATTTTTTTACAAGAAAATTATAAAAATAAAATTATTTTAGAGAAAAAAATGTAAAAAGAATGAACGGACTGGTGAACTTTTCTTGATGTTATACATCATGTTTACTGATGCTCTGCCAAGAGAAAATGGCTCATGTTGACAACCTTGAGGGCAATAGCCATTCTCAAGGTTGCCTGTAACGAAGCCGTAGGGAAAGCTGGAAATTTTTACCTGGGGGAAACCTCTCGGGGGCATGGGACCACCTCGGCCTCCTCTGAAGGGCATGGGCTGTCTCATGCCAGGGTTGACCATCCGGTTCTTGGCCACTCTGCCGCCAGGCGACCTTTGCGGGAATCCGCCGCCGCCACCCCGGCCACCTCGCTGGTACTGGTTGCGTTGCATTTGCTGGCCGCCGCGAGCACCACGGCCGCCTCTTCCACGGCCTCCACGACCTCCGCGGCCACCCTCGTTCCTGCGGTACTTGATAACGTCGTCTGCGAAGCGGAAAAAGGCGATTCGTTAGAGGATTGCGCGGAAACGCGAGACGCAAAAGACGGCCTTCGATGTAAACACAAAGGAAGCGTGCCCATTGCGAGATGAATTTCCGGCGAAAACGCGCTTGCGACTCACCCAGCGCCATGGAAACGTAAAGATCGGGATTGTTCATACTCCGAAAACAAGCGTCCTGTGATTCCGGAATCGAAATTCCGCGAGAATTGGCAATTCTTCCGTCAAAGTCACAAAAAGCGGCACTCGAATCAAGCGATTCTTTTGCCGGTCCGAAAGAAAAGAAACCGGATAATAATATCGGTTATTAATTTTCTTCAAAATTGAAACAGGTGATTAACCGGTAAAATTTTAGAAGAAACCGGTTTTTAATTTCTTAGGAAAACCGCAGCCGTGCCCTCTGTGCGCTTTGCCGGCGTCCAATCTCCAATCCTGCCCGATCAATCACTGCAGAGGAAAACTGCCACCTGGTGGCGGCAAATCTAACTAGAAAAAGAGGCGTTTCTTTGCCAATAGGAGAGTAGGTGACTGCGAACTTTGAGCAGGGTGCCAAAATCGCCAAAATTTAGGGTAAGTAGACCAGATTTTGAGTTATTTTGCATGCCTTTTTGCATCTTGGGGTTCGCTGATTCGTGACAGCAATTTTCGCAAATCTAAAACGTCTAGAAGGCAATTTTGAGCCATCTCCGTTCGTGCTCTGGTTTCTGACACACAGATGTGCAAATTCCATCGGCGCTCAGATCAATGTCAACATGTTTTTGCGAAAGTGCAGAAAAAGCAGTTTTGTTCTCCGAAGCACTCGTCTCAAGGGCTGGCAAAGCGATGACTGGCTTCAATGATGGTAAAGGGATTGTTAAAGACTCACATAAAAGTATTATGTATGGAAAACTCGAAAAATGGATTAAAATCCCTGGATAATTATGCACAATATTGTACTTTTGAATAAAAAATTTCCACATTAAGCATAACTTTAAACTAACACAATTGTGCGTTTAAAAATTGGAATGGAATTTTACGGCAGTATTCTATAAAATGAAGTTGCTAATTACAATCTCTGCTATTTTTGAAACTACGAATAGCCCCAAAAAATCAATAGTTCTGTTGCTGTTTGCTGATTTAAATTGCTAAAAATAAAATTATTCCATGAAATAATATTCATATTGCTGAAAAATTGCAATTGCTGTCATAACTTTTTTTGGTAAAGATGATAACCTAAAATAATTGAAAAAATTTCCCTCTTTTTGATAATTTTTATTTGAAGATTTTCAAACTGAATCATTTGAAAACTAGATATTTTTGAGGACTTACTTGGTCTTGATATTTTTAAAGACGAGGAGCGGAGCTAATTTTGCCTTTAAAACTTGAGAGTCAGGCAGACAGACGCCGAGTTGAGCACACAAAATATCTGATAAGGCGCTCAGAGAACACGTCACGCTCAGAGAAGCTGCAAGGTTTTAAATCTTCTTGAGAGTAAATTTATTGTAATGATTTTTTTTACACGAACCTATATCAAATATTTAATTAAATTTATTTTTGTGTTTAAAGAAGGACTAAATTTAGAAGCGAAAATTATTTGTCAAATAATATTTTTGTTATGAAATGCAAAAGAACAAAAAAAAAAAAATCAATACAATACGCTCATTTCAAAGGGATCTTTGAAACTTTTTACACTTAAAGACGAAAAAATCCATTTAATCAAACTAATTTTTTCTTAATTTATGCAGTTTTTGAAAACTTCTATATCGTGTCAGGATTTGAATTAGTGCGCGCCCCAGTAAATTAGTGATAAATTACTCCCACTCACCGGGAGCGCACAATAAGCAAAAATGAGCACCTAGGATGTGATGAGTGACGGCGGCGTCACTCATCACCACGGGACGAACCCACGCGGACGTTCTCGAGTATCACCTCCGTTAAAGGTATTTATGTAATAACTGTCTTTGGATATTTAATAATAACAATGACTTCCTGGGTATCACATTTGTTTAATTAACTATTCCCATAGGGTCTAGCACCGTCAGGGCTTAACCCTGACAATCGTTTGCTGAATTATTGAAAATTCTGTCAATCAAAGTTTTGGCACTGAGAGCGCTCATCAGTTGGGAATCAGGAAAGACTGATTAAAAAGTTTGCTCGCAATTTGCAGAGAGCTCGGGGCAAATTGCTAGAACAATGTTGGGGGCGCGTGCGCGCGTTGGGCTGCTCTGGATCGGGTCGGGGGTGGCCGGGGCAGAAGAGAAAAGAGGAAATGGGCCAAGTGAGCATTGGCATGAGACACACGGCGAAAAGCAAGGTGCTCTAGCTGCCGTGGCATTTATAATCGTGACACATTGTAAAGGAGGCCCCTTTTCAGCCGCCGCCGAGTGGGTGGGCGGCTGGTCGGGAGGGCGACGACTGCAGCTTCTTTTGCTCCCTGCGCTGATTCCTCCTCTTTTTTTCCCTAAGTCCTTGTCTCCGGCCAGAAGCACACACTCCAAAAAATTGTTCATCGCAGAACGAAAGAAGAAGCGTCTCACTTGCTCACTCTCAATGTCATGCTGCTCTGACGTCAAATTGAGTATATAGATTTGCATAATTGAAATGTTGCCGGTGACATGCAGAGGACCTGCCTTTGAAAAGCATCCCGCTTATCTAGCGGCAAGTTATGTTTTTCATCAAGTCCCACAAATAAGCTTGAAAGATAAAAAATTTATACACAGTTTTTAAATTAAATTCATCACTTTCAAATATGTGCTCCTGAAATTTTACAAATATTTCGAACAATCTTAAAAATATTGCCAATTGGGAAAAATTATGTGATAAAAAATTAGCTGAATAAATAAATCAATTTTTGTATCAACTAAGAACAGTAAATAATAATAAAATAATGCAATCCATCTGGAAAAATTCTTTGATAATATTACACAACTATGGGAAAAAATTGATATTAAAATTAAAATTAAATACATTTGGGCTGTTGAAGCCTAAAATCAACAACAAACGGAAAATGAAACTTATAATACAGTGAAATACTAGTACATTAGAACTCGTATTTTAAATGTATCAACGATAGCAATGATAACTAAAAATGTCCTCGCATAATCCAATGTAATCAGAGTGCAAAAAAGAGGTATAGAAAAATATTTAATAGCGACCTTTGCCATTTCGAAAAGCGCTTTACTCACAACAACATCGGCTGGTGGGCCCTGGTGAAAATAAAAACTATAAACATAAGTTTTGAAAATTTGAGAATGAGTGAGTCACTGTCCTTCCCTGTACACTTTACTTTCGAAACCTCACTTTTGAAAATTTGTGAGTGGGTGAGTCACTGTCCTTCCAAGAGTCTATGAACATAAAAAACCTTAGTTTTGAATTTTGACAGTGAGTGAGTCACAGACCTTCTAAGGACTATTTACATTTTAAACCTCAGTTTTGAAATTTTGAGAGTGAGTGAGTCACAGACCTACCAAGGACTATTTACATTTTAAACCTCAGTTTTGAAATTTTGAGAGTGAGTGAGTCACAGACCTACCAAGGACTATTTACATTTTAAACCTCAGTTTTGAAATTTTGAGTGTGAGTGAGTCACAGACCTTCCAAGGACTATTTACATTTTAAACCTCAGTTTTGAAATTTTGAGAGTGAGTGAGTCACTGACCTTCCAAGGACTATTTACATTTTAAACCTCAGTTTTGAAATTTTGAGAGTGGGTGAGTCACTGTCCTTCCAAGAGTCTATGAACATACAAAACCTTAGTTTTGAAATTTTGAGAGTGAGTGAGTCACTGCCCTTCCAAGGACTATTTACATTTTAAACCTCAGTTTTGAAAATTTGTGAGTGGGTGAGTCACTGTCCTTCCAAGAGTCTATGAACATACAAAACCTTAGTTTTGAAATTTTGAGAGTGAGTGAGTCACAGACCTACCAAGGACTATTTACATTTTAAACCTCAGTTTTGAAATTTTGAGAGTGAGTGAGTCACTGACCTTCCAAGGACTATTTACATTTTAAACCTCAGTTTTGAAAATTTGTGAGTGGGTGAGTCACTGTCCTTCCAAGAGTCTATGAACATAAAAAACCTCAGTTTTGAAATTTTGAGAGTGAGTGAGTCACTGTCGTGCCCTGTACGACTTATATTGTAATCGTATTTTTTGAAAATTTGAGAGTGGGTGAGTCACTGTCCTTCCAAGAGTCTATGAACATACAAAACCTTAGTTTTGAAATTTTGAGAGTGAATGAGTCACGGACCTACCAAGGACTATTTACATTTTAAACCTCAGTTTTGAAATTTTGAGAGTGAGTGAGTCACTGACCTTCCAAGGACTATTTACATTTAAAACCTCAGTTTTGAAAATTTGTGAGTGGGTGAGTCACTGTCCTTCCAAGAGTCTATGAACATACAAAACCTTAGTTTTGAAATTTTGAGAGTGAGTGAGTCACAGACCTTCCAAGGACTATTTACATTTTAAACCTCAGTTTTGAAATTTTGAGAGTGAGTGAGTCACTGTCGTGCCCTGTACGACTTATATTGTAATCGTATTTTTTGAAAATTTGAGAGTGGGTGAGTCACTGTCCTTCCAAGAGTCTATGAACATACAAAACCTTAGTTTTGAAATTTTGAGAGTGAATGAGTCACAGACCTACCAAGGACTATTTACATTTTAAACCTCAGTTTTGAAATTTTGAGAGTGAGTGAGTCACTGACCTTCCAAGGACTATTTACATTTTAAACCTCAGTTTTGAAATTTTGAGAGTGAGTGAGTCACTGACCTTCCAAGGACTATTTACATTTTAAACCTCAGTTTTGAAAATTTGTGAGTGGGTGAGTCACTGTCCTTCCAAGAGTCTATGAACATAAAAAACCTCAGTTTTGAAATTTTGAGAGTGAGTGAGTCACTGTCGTGCCCTGTACGACTTATATTGTAATCGTATTTTTTGAAAATTTGAGAGTGGGTGAGTCACTGTCCTTCCAAGAGTCTATGAACATACAAAACCTTAGTTTTGAAATTTTGAGAGTGAATGAGTCACGGACCTACCAAGGACTATTTACATTTTAAACCTCAGTTTTGAAATTTTGAGAGTGAGTGAGTCACTGACCTTCCAAGGACTATTTACATTTAAAACCTCAGTTTTGAAAATTTGTGAGTGGGTGAGTCACTGTCCTTCCAAGAGTCTATGAACATACAAAACCTTAGTTTTGAAATTTTGAGAGTGAGTGAGTCACAGACCTTCCAAGGACTATTTACATTTTAAACCTCAGTTTTGAAATTTTGAGAGTGAGTGAGTCACTGTCGTGCCCTGTACGACTTAT